TAAGTTGCCAACAATAAAAATCAACCAAGTTTCTAAAGCACCCGTGTCTGCTCTTTATTATCCTTACTATGAACACATATGTGTAATAACAATAATTAACCCTCCCCACAAGTCTGCTTAAAAGCACTTGGTTAAGCGACCTTAGGAAAAGAGCGTTTTTATCAACGTCTTTAAAATACTTTGAAGTGTTTTAAAGATGTCAGAATCGATGGTTTGCAGGTTACATGTGGCATGATTTCAACAAGCTATCCTTGAACAGCAACACCACAAAGACGACGCTTTCTTTAAACACGAAGGTAACATTTCAGCTGGCACAGCTGATGACTGAAACTGTTGGGTAGAGGCTTGGAAAATGCCATGTGTTTATACTGGAGTGTGACACAGTGAATTCTGGTCATTAAATTATCTTTGATATCTGATCAGTGACACCAGATGATGCCCTGTGGGCTGCGCTGGCCATGCTGCACGTTACAGGGATGAGATTTGGGCATGCCGGGAATACCATACGCATCATTATATGAAATAACGCCCAAGCCGTGGGCCTTCTGGATGGAGGGGAAATAAAGTTCAAGCTTGTCTCCTTGGTGACATGAGGGGCTTTGGGCAAGCTGCCCTGATTCAAACCAGGACTGAACTTCATCGAGACCCGGAAAGGTGTCCAAGACCCGTGCGGGGAGACACCAGAGACACACGGGAGACGGCCCGAGGAAGTTACCGGTGTTTTATAAGTAAAGTTTGTGGGAACCGTCTCACGGCAGGATCCTCCCCTCAAAGACGGGGAACGGGACCACCAGTGAGCGGCCATACTCGCCCCGGACTGTGCCCCGGCTGCCGGCCGGGATCGCCCGCTCTGCAGACCCCAGCGGCGCGACCCCCAGAAACAAGAGACCCCCTGAGGCACAGCGCTCCGTGGGGACGGTTCCGCGGGCACCCTCCTCAGCCAGCGGCGCCGCTCCGAGCCCCCCCGTTCCACCCGCGGGCAGGTACCGGGGGGGCGGCCCCCGCCCCTGACCCACTAACACACCTCCCAGCCAACATGGCCGCCCCGCCAGCCACCGCGGAGCGCAGCCTAGCCCGGCCACCGCCGCGCCGCGCCGCCCCGCCCTCCCCGCCCGCTCAGTGGCTCGCTCCCCAGCCACGCTCGCTCCCATTCGCCGCCGCCCCCGCCGCTCACCCGCCCAGCGGCCCTTTCAAGCTAGGGTGAGGCGACATGTAAACAAACCCCCTTCCGCCGCGCCGGGCCGGGCCGGCCGCGGGACCCCTTCCGCCGAGCGCCCGCCCGCCTGCGGGGCACTGAGAGCCAGCCCCGGCCTCCCCCACAGGGTCCCCGCGCAGCGAGAAGGGAGCGGAGGGCTCCCCCGCCCCGCTGCCCCCGCGGCCTCCCTCCGAACGGACCCCCTGCTGCCTGGGGAAGCCCCTTCTCAAGCGGCCGGGGCTGCCGCCAGCAGGGGAAGCTCTGCACCCCCCGTCCCAGGCAGTTACATAAAAGTAGTGTCAGAGCGGGGAGAGTCCTTCCCCCCGCCCTGCCCCGCCACTCGCACCGGCCCGGGACCCCTCTCCGCCTCCTCCCTACGGCCCGGGGCCGTCCCGCTGGACACCAACGCGCCTCAGACAGGGAACCCCCCCGTTCCCACCAGCCACCCCCCGAGCACTCGAACAGGTCGAAAGCGGAGGAGGGGACTCCGAGCCTGAAAAGCAACAGAGCGCGGAACAGCCGAGCCCTTCTGCACCCGGCACCGTACGCCCGGGCAGACGAGCCGTCCCTCCACCCGCACAGCCAGCGCGACCGGTCTCCCCAGCGCTTTCGTCTCCCTGGCGCTGGTTGCGAGAGTCACTTTTCCTTGTGGAGGCACGGGCCGCTCCTTACGGACGGAGGTTGGAAGGGACACCGACAGGTCCCTGCTGAACCCGCGTCCCCCCGCAGCCCCTCACCGCGCCCTTAAACCACATCACTGCTGTCCCCCCCGGCGCGCCACCTCAGCCCCATGAGCCGGACACCCCCCGCGCACCACCGCTCTCCCGCAGCCCCAGCTGCCACACCCCCCAGCGCAGCCGAGCGGTGGGAACCGGGCACCATCCCCGCCGCCTGCCCCGGGGCGCCCCGCAGCCGGGCTGCCCCGGCCTTCCCCGCGCCCTGCAGCCCCCTGCCCTGCGCGCACCCGCTAACACCGCCTGCCCCCCCGCCGGGACGCCCCTCCGCCGCCTCCCCCCGCAGCGGGGCATTGGGCCGGCAGCCGCGTCCTCGCTGCGCCCCGCAGCACCCCCCTCCCGCCAGGCCGCGGCCGCCCCCCGCGTCCCGCACTCACCGCGCGGCCGGGGCTCAGCAGGGGGCGCCGCCCCGCGCGCTCGGGCCCGGACCCTCCATGCGGCTGCGGGTTTGTTTTGTTTATGTCCCTTCCTGACGGGTTCCCGGAAATCGCGTGACTCGCCCCCCTCACGTGGGGAGGGAGGGCGGGGCGGGAGGAGGCCGACACAGCCAATCGCCGCCCGCCGCCACGACGGGGGAGGAAAGAGGGGGGGGGGAGCCACCCCCTCGTCACGTGACGGCGCAAGGCGCGGGGGGGGGGAATTTAAGGAAGGGTCCGTGGGGCCGGGTCTGTGTCCCTCGGGGCTTTGCCCTGACCCTGCCCGCTGCCATACAGCCCTATAGCCGCGCAGGGAGGGGGCCTGGCCCCAGCGCCACAGCCATGCCCCTCGAACCAGTTGTAAAGAGCATTTAACTCCTGTAACAGCTCCTCTGCCCCCAAACCCCACCATGGCTGGCAAGACAACATAAAAACCAACATTTGTTTTGCCCCAGAGTTGGTAATATGTGGTTCTGAAAGCAGCAGCATCCCGGCTGACAGCTAACTTAAAGCCCTTGCACAAGCAAAACACTTCCACAATTTACAGCAGACGAAATATCAAACTTCCACACGCACTTCAGAGCAATATCCCAGGAGGGGCACAAGCACAGACATTTGAGCTTCCGAAACAATATTAATGTGTCAAAAGTATTTGAAATGTCTCCAACCTAAACACTTGCTCTACCTGCTGCTGCTATTTAGGAGTTCAAGTCTTCATGACTTGATGGAGTCAGTTTCTTCAATCTTCCTTCCCCCAAAGTATCAACACACAGATGAGATCAGACTGATCAGGGCAGACCCGGCTTTCCATCTATGTCAAGCACAAGCAAATTTCCTTCACATGTACCTTAACACTTTGTGTTCTGTTGTTGCAGAACAAGAGGAAACTGTTACCAGCTTGGATACCTGCAGTGTTTGTTAAACACCAGCGTGTCTGCTCTGATTTCCTACAGTCAGGTAAAAAAAAGTTACCTGAAGCAGTGTTAATTCCTGGCAGACATGGAGCAGACCATTCCATAATCACCATGCATACCGTAGGTCACACAACATTCAGGACAACAAAAATACATCCATCTTTTCAACTTCTTAAATCAAGCTACTACCTCGTATCTGCCCCATAGAAAATATTAACCAGTTGGGTAGAGGGAAGTGTCTTTAGCTGGAAAGCACCAAAAGACTGAACTATGGCTTGGTGGCTCACGCTCTGAATAGCTCTTTACATTAAATTCTCCCGCAGTGACGCACACCACATCATCTCCGTTTCACTTCTGTATCTTCTACAAGTGATCCCTTAAAACCTGAAACAGAAAGGTTGTTACAAAAAGTGGTAACACCAATAGGGCTGTTTGTCACAGCACAGTTTCTTTTCTGGCGTCTCACCTCAGGGTACAAGTCAGGCAGATCAATATATTTTAAAAACTGTTACATACCCAAAATTGTCAACAATGTCTTGAAGCATTTCTTCCTCCTCCCATGAGGTCAACATATATTATCCTCCACGTGCTTCAGAAACGCCAACCAACCACCACCTAAGCTTTTATGAGATCATTTGGTTTCCAACTTTCTTCGGAACTATTTGCCAGACTATAGAGCAACTTCTCATGTGCTAAAGTACAGCTCTCAGTAGTAGGCAACTTGAGGAAAACCTCACTATCCCAGGCCCAGCAGTCGCTTTGCTGGTTTGTATCATAACTGACATGTCTGTACTTCTTCTGCAATTCACGCTGTCCATTTTTCAACCACTGCAAGTTACAGCATTCTGTCAGGATGCTGGCATTTCCTGTACAGTAACAAGTATTATCCCACTGAACAACTCAACAGTGCTATCCAAAAGGAAAAAAAAAAAAGAACCATTCCATCTTGTACATAAGAATAGAACACAGTAAGGAATAATGGCGGTTTATCTGGCCATGACATAAGGAGGCAAGAAGTACACATGAAGACTCCTGTGATGCAGCAATATTTGCATATTGTGAAGTGATTCCTTAGCACACAACTTGCTAGATTCAGTCCCAGCCCCACAGACTCAGCTAGCATCGAGGAGCCTCAGCAATCTTTCATCTCTGGCCTCCATTGCCGTGTGCTTTATCAGGCCTGCAATTTCATGTGCAAGTGTCAACCAAGTATAAAACAACTATGTTTGCTGTTGAATTCAAACTGCTTGTTGCTATATGTATCCTACAAAAAGGCCAGGGAGTAAATCAATCTCCTCTCAAAATTACTATTTTCCTGTTGAATTCAAACTGCTTGTTGCTATATGTTTCCTACAAAAAGGCCAAGGAGTATATCAATCTCCTATCAAAATTACTATTCACGCTTCATCCAAACTAGTCACGTTATCTCTGCTACCAAGTCCCCTCCAGTATCGGACAATGGGAAGTACATGGAGAAGAGGCTTGAGCTAAGTAAGCATTCAATTTTACCTGCAGACCCTCCAGCAAGTTTAAATTGCTGACTTAGTCCTATTTTAGAACTACCTGAGAGGTCTTAATAAAGACAGCAAAAGCATCTTCATCTCATCACATGACATGAATTTATTACAGTTTATCCACATCATCTAAAGTTTCCTCAGCTCAACTTTGTCTAACTATCGTCTGATTAAACCCACTAAAATGCACATCATAACAGTTACACATGGCACAAGAACTTTATGTATAAAGCAGAGATTAGTTTTATTTCCAGGCATGAGAAACTTAAGGCCAAATTTCCCAAGAATACAACTCATTCAAAAGAAGAAATGCCATCAACATGTGGCACCACTGTTTGTCTTCTCCTCACAGAGTTTCTTGCAGACATTTTACCAATCACAATCAAACAGAACAGGGTGAACAGCACAGCAATAGACAACCTAAGGCTTGTAACATATATACAGTCTTCCCGTAGAGTGAGAAAAATGAACAGGAAAGCAAATACCCATAAAAACTTTAGAAATTTTCATCACATGTGAAGTTAAGAGACAAAAATTTACAGCATCAAAGGGGAGTATAAACTGCATTAGGCACACTGTTAAAGGTATAGAAGGAAAAAATACAGGGCTTTGAACAAGCCATTTGAAGCACAATAGAAAGGTTAAGGCATTAATGCAGGCTTGGTATCCAACCGACTATGTTAAGGGCATCTTTGGGCAGTGGAGTGTTTCATCTGAAGAAAATCTCTTCTTTACCTGCAAAGCAAGAGGCAACTTCAATTATTGCTTTCCATGGAGACAATTGACCAACTGAAGACCTGGTTGGTAGCCACAACTTCCATTCCACAAACGCACTGAGAAATAGTGAAGAACTGTAGATAATTCACCTGTATGGACCTTCTAGAATAATATCTAGTTCCTTGCTTTCTTAGCAGTTTCATTACTTAAGGTAGTGCAAGTAGTTACAGTTACATTACAAGCTGCAGAACAACTATTTCCTAGAAAGTTTTCAGTGCTGTAGCAGCATCCAGTCATCTGGATCATGGTTCCTGCACTTAATAGCATGAAGAAAGTTCCTGGTATGAGAACACAGATTAAATCTACAAATTTGCAGAGAAAAGGTGGCATTGGGTCACACTGCTTAGAAGAGGCTACAGCCCACATAACCACAGCTACAGAAGTCTGCATGTTCTTATGTACTGCCATTTAAGCTATTAACTTGATTATGAAGACAAGTCATCTGATACATCATCATCACTTGGAGGGATACTGACCTAAAAGAAAAGCCGATCTTCTGTAATCTGGCACAGCTCAATCAAGCCAATGTCTGTAGAAGCTCCTCACTAGAACGCTTTCTGTGTGCATTTTTAGCCTGTTCTGTTGGTCAAGTAAAATAGGTGCTGGAAAAACACTTCTGAAAAGCCAAAAATAATTGACCAAACATGAAACAGTAGCTATATTTATGGGATTCCATGCAGTGTCAGATGGAGTCTAATTCACAGCTCCTGTCTAGTGACAAACTCAACTGGAGATACACAACAGCACAAGACAGGACACTGCAGCCTGATCAAGGCAGGCACCTTCTTGCTGCTCAGCTCTCTCAACACAAGAGTAATTTAAACAAGATCATGGAGAATGGTATGTCCTGAAACAGCACATTTCTAGCAAGAAAACATAACATTTAACTAGGATATTTGAAGACTATTACACGGTTTTATTTTTTTTAAATCATTCTGTTTCAAGATGATTAGAACTTTCATTTTATTCCAAAATTAAGGCAATGAAATCAGACAGATCAAAGGTTAAACCAATCTGCCTCACAGAACACAACAGTGTGTGCTATATAGGCCTCAAATTCTCCACTAATAAGTTAAAAAATGACAGCTCCTCACATAAACTTACTGGCCATCCCACATTAGCTCCCTCTCTTCCTCAGTATATATCTACCTTCAGCTCTCTGGAAAATTCTTCACTGAAAGGGAGAGGGAAAGCCTGATTCTTTCATCAGGCAGCTGGAGTCCAAGAGTTGTATCTCATATCCAGTTTTACCTTGCTGCTCACAACACACAGATCACTTCAGATCCCACACAACTGAATTATCCTACAGGATTCAGAGATCTGTATGCCCATTACCAGAATACACTAGTCTCTGTTTTAGCTAGCTCATTATATGTTAACACATGAGCAGAGAAAATGTGCCCAGGAAATTCAGCTTATCTGACTTGGCTAATTACAGGCCTCGAAGCAGGGCTGAGCCTACCTTTAGCTTCTGCTTGCTGCTTAGAAGAGAAGATATAGACACATACACATGCCAGTTTGACAACACCACAATTCAGATGAAGCCTGCTTTGCAGCAATCGAGCTTTGCTTCAGGGTAAATGTTCAGGATGCTTTACAGACATCATTTAACTGAGCTGTAACATCAACTGTCATCTGCTACTCTTGGACTTCTGTAAACAGAAGTAGTAACAGCAAAGGGGTAGGCAGTTAAACATAAAAGGACAGAAAACCCTACCCCAAACAGGTAAAAAACTAAGCACATCTAAGTTATTCAGTTACCAGCATAAGAACTAAAATCATGGGTACTTGTTTCCACAGTTATCCTTCATTTGAACCTTCAACGCCAAATGCTTCTGTTCCAAAGAAACCCAAAGTCATCATGGTACTTGTAGTACAAGACTCTGTATTTACTGCAGATCAAGTCAGAAAGCATGCCCAGGAACTGCAACAGCAGCATTCCAATAGCACTACCTAGAGAGCAACAACCAGGCTTGTCTATGATTAAAGTTGCACACAGGCTATTATTAAAAAACAAACAAAACCCAAAACCCAAAGCAACATTCATCTGTAAGCTCAGTGTTAGTGCTGTACTTTGACAGGAGAGAAGAACCATTCTAACTACAGTTCTCACTCTGATTTCCCAGATGAATGAAGGCACCTCTACATTGCCTTGGAAATCAGGCCAGGTCTTGGTGACATGGTCATAAGCTTAAAGAGAGGTTTAACAGTGGTTAAAGGTTAGGAAATCCACTCACGCCAGCTAGTAAAAGACACCCCAGCCTGATTTTCTTTTTATTGGTAGAAGAAACATTCTGTTCTCTTTACAACCCCCTGCTTGCTGAACACAGCACCACATGACATGATAGCAGAGAAAAGTAACTGGACAAGAATTCAGACCAAGCTTTTCATGGTATCCATTCAAGATTAACATCCAAAAGATGTTTTGTTGCAGCCTATATAAAGGTAGATTTCTCCTGCAAAACAGCTAGCAATTCTGAACACACTGCCTATAACAACTGCTCCTACTTTCTCCTGAAGCTTTAATGTACCAAAAATATTAATAGATCTGATCATACTCACCTAGTCAACAGATTTCAGCATAGGACAGACATCCTTAAGGCCAGTGGTATTTAAGGTACCAGATTGTTTCATTGCTTAACTGCGGCCCAAAGAGAGGGTTGAGTTGAGCCAGAATCGCAATCAGCCAACTGCAAGACAACCCCCCCAACCCAAAAGAGAGAACATCAGCCAAATCACAAAGCTTACAATAATGGAAAAGCTTGTCCAAAGCACAAGTACTATCAGAGACAAAAAGACTATTTTCAGGAAGGTCTAGTATCAAATCAAAATTTCACTCAAGCTCAAACATAAAGGCTAGGTACCAGCAATGAAGAGGTGGCACCAAATCATTTTGCAACTGGCCTGTTCAATTTAAAACAACACAAAACCACCTGACAGCATCTCTCTCATCCATTTTTTTTTTTGACAAGTGTTTTGAGACATCTAAAACTCAGATATCTGTGGGCTCAGAATACAGAAATGTAAGAGAGACAGCCCTTTTCTCGGTGCCTTTGAGGCACCCTTTAAACAAAAACATTTCATAAACATTCTCTCTCATTTGCTCTTATATTCACAGTGTATGAAAATCTACCCTTGCAGACATAGTATATTTTTCATCAGAGATGGAACAAATGTGAATTTAAACCTGGCACAGAGGTCAAGAAATAGGGACCCGATGCAAAAGCGTGCAATGCTACAGGAACACACAAATCCACAACAAGAAAACCAATATGACAACACTGCCAAATCATCAGCAACAGCAGCCTTGTCATCAGAGCAGTTCGCAAACTAATACTGCAGAAGCAATAGCCAGAACAGAGAACAAGAGGAATGTAGTCTGTGGAAAATATCCAGGAAAACTAAACAGAAATAAATATTCCACTGTTAAAATATATATTTGCTTTGTAAATATTACAGGATTCAGAAAAAGCAATGGATGATTCCATGGATTTAAATCTATGCTAAATACTAACTATATAAACACATTTAGTGAACACACAGGCTCATCTGTCTGCTATTTCTAGAATGCTTTGCAAGGAGGAGAAAAAGCAGAGCAGCTTTGTAACGAGAGCTGCCACAAATGTATCAGAGTGCTTAGGCAGTAATGGAAAATTCCACACAAACCTTGATGCTTTGACCAGCGGATGAAGTGCAGGTCGGCTGTAAAATGCCCAGGGCAGCCAGGGGCAAAAGACTTAAAGAAAACACCTCAATCCTCTTGCAATTTACAAATATTTATTTTCAATGCTGCTTTCAGTTTTGCAGGGAGTAGGACTTGCTACAATGATATGCTGCGCCTGCAGACCTCTTATCAGTCCTGCAAGCCTTGAAATACACAGCAGGCTCTACAAAGCAATTAAATCATCAGCAAGACACCACCAGGAGCAGTCAACCTAAAGGTTATTGGCATATTCCTACTTTGCTATCCAAAGCTATGACAGCAATGTCTTTTGAAAGCACCTTAATCATGATGTTACATTTACTTGAGGGAAAAGCAAACTAGCCCTTAAAAATATCATGGCATTTATTTTGCAAGGGGGTTAATTTTCAGATACAAAAGACAGATAGAAGGGTGCCAGAGCACTGTACCATCTGCCTTTAGCATCCTGAACTAACAGAAGTGGGAGGAGGGTAGGAACACTAAAAGCCTGCTAAAGCACGTTATTCTCTCACTGCATGGAAGGAAGGAACTCTATGTACAAATATCTCACCTCTCTGCTTCCTAAGTTCAGCCCTGGCATGGCTGTCAACTACATGAGCTGGAAGCACATTGAAAACATTGATGTGTCCCAGCCGTATAACCATGCTGTAGGCAATCACTGTGCAGTTTTCAAAAGCTATTTTTTGGGACCATGATGGATATCCAAGCTCTGAGCCACAGTAAAATTCCAGGTCAACAGTATATTCCTCCTTCCTGCTCTGCTAGGGCCTAAAAATTCAAAACAGTAGTTATGCACTGAACTCTACAACTGCCTTGTATTCAAGGTAAGTCATGAAAAAGCTTTTGCTTAAGTGATGCTGCATTATACAATGTTCTATCATGACAATGCAAAACAAAACACAACATTCAAAGCAAAACAAAGCAAGCCTCTGCATTGAACGTGTAATGCTCTTGAGCTGCCAAAATCAAATACAGCATTCAAGCCACCCACAGGTCCTTAAATTCTACCAGATACCACTTACAACGCTTAGTGTTAATTACCCAGCTCAGACAAGGAAATTAAAGTCCCTTATGCTCTACCAGGAAGACTGTTTAAAAGGTCTTTCTGCCATAACTGCCATCTGTCTATGCTGCATATTACAAATTAAGGTCCTGCTATCTCTGTTTAAATGTCATTTTGGGGACTGTACTTTAATCCTTTCAGAATCATCAGTAAATACCATTTTTCAAGCACCCTGTACTCTGTTAGGACATCGTGGTTCTGTTTCAGGAACTGCTTTGGAAACATCAAAATAGATTGAGACTTTGACAATGTCTTAAAACATGGTGTAACTTCCACAGCAGTAACTCCTTATCCTTTGCCTTATATTTTATCAGGTTCCTGAGGCTCAGTATTCGCCTTCAAAAGGCTGCTGGGTACAATATCTGTACACAAACAATGCACTTACCCATGCAAATTTTTCCATAGGACAACCAAATTAACACCATGTGATCAATATGGTTATGCAGAATGATCACTGCTAAATCTAAACACAGAAGAAAGAGCTTTAAATTGAAATGTGCTTGATTTCAAATTCAGTTAACACAAATTCAGTTTGATGCAAATCAATGTCAGACAAGTGGTGTTTAATGAAGACAGGAAATGCTTTCTCCTTATTTTCAACCAGAAAGGTAACTCAGTATGAAACCAGGTCTAGCAGAGTTCTGAACAATTCTACAAAAGAGGTAGATAACAGCACCAGCCACCTACTAAGGACACACAAATAAAGCTGACCATATCTGGGACAACACAAGTAATTTTAACCCTAATGTATCTAACACAGAATCCTAGGAAACCATTGTTTCAGGCTTCCGTCAAAACTAGCATGAAAAATTGTTCTCTCTTTAGTCACATGAATTAAGGTCTGAAAATTTTTCAATGCTTCCCCTGAAAGAGGAAAAGAATATGGGAAGAACAAACTGACAAACACTTGAATAAAGCAGAGGAAAGAAAGGTTAGACCAGATGATCTTTTGAGGTGCTTTCCAACCAGGGCTGTTCTGTGATTTTATACAGAAATCAGGGGAGGAAATAAAAACTCTGCGATGATGCAAATTCTATCTTGGAACACGAGAAGAAAAACCTGCTTTTTCTAGCAAACAGATACTATATACGTAATTTATGTGGTTGGGTGTAACTACTGATGGTTTAGAACATTGTGTTGCTTCTCTTTTTCGAGGTGTAACTGGCAAAAGCCAAAGGGAATACAGAAAACGAGACAGAGCTCACAAGATTACAAAAGAACCTCTCACTGGACATGCAAGAATGGATTATATTATAATTAATGTCAATGACACTAGATTTACCATAGGTTTGTTTCAGTACAAAAATCATTACACTTAAAAGTGAAATACCACTGTACATTTGAAGAGTTCACAGCATTCAGTCAAGAAATTCTACAACAAAGACATTTCACATCATAATCCAGATACTGCAGATGCCATGTGGACTTGACTTCAAGGAAACTATCCTTCTTCAACCAATAAGGAAAACAAACCCTGAGCTTTGAGGATTTTAGAAGAGTAGAGCATTATTTTTGTTAAAATGCAAAGTAGGGAGAACTTAAGTGAGAACTTTAACCAAAACACACCCCAAAACACTGAACTTTATATGCAGTCAAGGAGGCCTTCATAGCCCTAAGATTCTCAAATTCCAATCCCAAATTCAAGCTGTTGGTACAACAAATCTCTTCAAGCTTCTACATCTTCAACAGTAGTTTTCTGAATTAAAAAAACTGCACAGATACAAAATACAGAACTAAATTGCTGTACTTCTAAATCACCCAATACAATGATTTAAGACCTCATGTGTCAAATACTCAAACAAAATAGGCCTAAACTGTACAAAGTTTGAATATCACATTATTAATCTAAATCAACCCTGCATAAGTCTGCGGCACAAGCTAACCCAACATGGAGCCAAACAGGCCTCTCCTGGAACACACCAACACTGATAATATGGCTTTTGACTGCCAGTTCCTAAGAATGACTCTTGAGATTAGAGATGCATTTCTCTAAATATTCATGTTAAGCTCCTTAGAATAGCATAAATAACATCTAAATACTTCAGGAAAGTACAAATACCACTCAGGTTTAAAAGGAACTCTGAATAATGATTTTATTACAAGTTAGCCTTAAAGATCTAACCAGAGTTTTTGTTATTTTTACTAATTGTCTTACAGAAAAGAGGCAGCCTGAAAATATAACACGCATTTAAACAAAAATCATCTTAACACAGCAAAGCACACAAGTCTGTCACAAAAACTGTCACATACAAAAACCACACATAAAAGTTTTTCCACCCACTGCCCTACCAGATTTTGAGAATATATTCAACCAAACTAAGTAAAGCAAAACTCATCAGTAGGTTTAAATTAATATCACCTCATAAAGTATAATATCACCTCATATAAGTGTGACTTATACAAAACAAAAAAGGCATAAAGTCATCGCTCTACTGTAAATCAGAAAACTTGTGGACCTGACAAACTGCCATTACACCTGTGAGTGAACAAGCCAGTGAACTGGAAAGGAGCAACATCAAGTCAACACAGAACACAATTCAACAGTTACATGTCAGAGGACAACAAAAGGAATTCGGGTTTGTTTTCATTCAGTATCTTCCCTCAGGAAAATGCTTTCTTCAGCATGCTGAAGGTTTTTAGAACTAAGAATTCCAAGACCTGTCAAAGAACACCATTGTGTCTGCATCTGTGACACATTCAAAAAGCTGCTTCCTAAATCTTTTGAGGATATAAAAAAGGAACTTTTGATTACATCAGAACTGTGTCTTGGTTAAGAGGCAAGACATTATTTATACTTACAACAGGTAGCAGCAAACAGCACATGTCACCAGCATTGTGTTGATAACACTGCAAAAAGGAAGGAGAGAAACATCTGATTAGGTGTCATGTTATGACTGACCACAAGACACACTGGAAAAAAAAAAACAGCACACAAGAACAACTCCAACTTCGATCATGTGGAAGGTGACTCAACACAAGTGTTCCAACTTCTTCTAGCTGAATAATTTGCAGAAGCGCAGCTAAGGCTCAGCAGAAGAGCTGACACAGCTCTGACAAACAGAAGTATACAGCTATATTTAACCAAAATCACCCCAAAGAGGAGCAAAATCTTATACACACGGTGTCCTCACTCAATTTCATAGTCAATTCCACCAGCAAGTTAATAAACTACTGAAGCTGGATGTTATAATGCTAACAGTAAGCAATAAACATGTTCTCCTTAAAAAAATGCAAAATTCTCCTTACAGAAATTTTCAGTATAAAAATATTTTAATTTTACATCATGAGCAAGGGGTTTGCAAACAGAACACAAAAAAATCTGAACGACAAGATTTTCCTTTCTTGGCGAATGGAAACTGTATCAGAAACCACTATTAAGCTGCAAAGCAGCAAGAACCAAGCAGCTCTTGAAACTGAACATGGTAGAATGACATAGTACACACACGACTCTGAAATGTGAGGAAAGGAAATGACATTTCCTAGCAGCAACTGATATATGCAACTAATGGAACTTAGTAACAAAGTAGAGGAGTTTTGTTTATTTGGGCTTTTTCTAATTATAAAAAGGGGTTTCACTCTATGTATTTCCTCCCCCAAACCAAGGAACAAAACCTCATGCCAGGTTAGTTCCTTCTAACTCTTTTGTGACACAGGTAACATTTAATATTTTTCATCTATGAATATACACCCACCTTATCCACTTTAAAATGAACATTACAAAGCTAACATAGCCTTGGATTAAGCTCCAGAAACCCATCCTTTTCAGGGAGTCCCAGAGTCACAGTTTGGGAGCCTTAACCTGTGCAATGTGAACTCTTACGTAGCTAAAGTCTGCATTAACTTATTTTGTTAGATAAAGAACAACTGTATTCAGAAATAGGCTTTGGGTAAAGCGTTTTGGGGTTTTCTTTGCTGTTGTTTTGCTACATGCTATAGAACGTAGGAATGCTCTGTTATCACATTTGTTAAACAATCACATTTTGGCATAACTACAGAACATCTGTTGGTGACCCACATACTTTAAGGACATGCCTGGAAGACGTATTTCCAAGGTATTTCTGAGGACAGGAAAGTTTTCAGGCACAAAACACCCTCCAGGTTTGACACGAAGGCAGCAAATAACCAGAGCTAAATAGAACTTGAGGAAAATTCCTCCGAGTTTAGACAAACAACTAAGAAAAGACAGTCGGTACCTGTGGAGTAGAGGGGATGTCAGAGAGAGGAAGAGAGGTTAAGAAGTCATTATCTCCTAGGGAAAAGAGAAAGACAAAAACTTGTCTACTTTTAATCTGAGCAGCTACGACCACTGCAGGAAAAAGTCTGTTTAGATGCCCTCGCTTTTGTCCTCAGACCACCAACATACATTAAAACACACAACAGAGATCTACTACAGCAATTTTTTTCCACCCTTATCCAGTGCCAAACTAGACGGTGAAGTAAGTTAGAAAAGGTCAAGTAAGGAAACTAAAAGGAAGCCATTGCTCAAACACCAACTTAACATGAGACGGCCTCACCACAGGACGCCGTGTATGCGGATGTTTACAGGGCTTGAGGGGAAAACTCAACACCGTAACGGATTACTAAGGCACGGAGACACCGCTCCTGGCTTCGGCCTTCCCCGCGGGCTGGAGCCCGGCTGGCACAGGCGCCTGGGCCCGCCCGCCCTCCGCGCTGCGCCAGCGACGGGGAGCCCGCAGGAACACTGCGGCAGGAGGCGGCGGCTCCGCGCCCGGCAGGCACGGCGCTGCGGGGCTCCGCGACGGCCGGCGGGCCTCGGCGGCGAGGGAAAGGGGAACTCAGGCGAGCCGAAGCCGCAAGGCCGCTGCTGCCCGGCAGGCCCGCAAGGGCACGGCGCGCCTCCGCCAGGCCTCCGCCTCGGGGCGCGGGCTCGCCTCCGTCCGGGGGCCTCCTCACACACACTGCCCGTTCCCCAGACCCGAGGGGAAGAGGCGGGCAGGGGATCGCTGAGCCCCTCAGCGCGACCCCGGCCTCCCCCCGGTCACTCACCCTCGGTTAGGCCCCTTGGGTATGAGCCATGGCAGGACGCCTCCGACCACCCCCCAGAAAACGCTCATGACGATGATGGGCACCGTGAGGCCACCGTACGCCATGGCCGGGCCGGCGGTGGAGGGAAGCGGCTCGGTGCGACCCGGCGGGGAACCTCCCCAGCCCTTCCTCACGGCCGCCGCAGCGCCCCGCCCTGCCCCGCCGCCTGCGCCAATCAGCGCCCACGACGTCACCGGAGCCCGGCGGGCGGTGCCGCACCTGGCGGCGCGACGGCGCTGTGGGAGCGGGCCTTGGCGGGCGGAACAACCCGGGCCCGGGGAGCGGAGCGGGAAGGAGTTGTGCGGGCAAGGGCGGAGCTCCTCCGGGGGCAAGCGCTGGCTTCGAGCTCATCGGTGACTGGGAACAGGGAGAAGCCTCCGGTCGGAGCGCGCGGTGCCGCGGGCAGGGCCCGGGAGGAGCAGCGGAGCCGAAGGACGCGCTCAGTTCACTGGCACGGGTGAAGAGAAACATCGTTCAGCAGCGTGTGCGCTCGCATGGGCTGCGGGGGTACATAAAAGCTCTGAACAGGCATAAAAGAAGTGACGCTGAAAGGCTCAAGCAGCCTTCGAGTTACTGCCTATAAATGGCTTCAGAAGGGCACGTGTGGTCCTGGGGCACAGCAAACTCAGTGCGAGTGAACAGGGCTGCTGCGGCAGAGTAAGCCAACGTCAAGAGTCTCACCAGAAGAGATAAAGATGTCATTGTCCCACTCAGTGCTGGTCAGGCCACACCTGGAATACTGTGCTCAGGTTTGGTCCCCATTTTACAAGAAGTGGGCAGGCTGGAAGGGACCCAGAGAAGGGCCTTAAAGATGATCCAAGGACTGGGATGTGTGTGAGGGACGCCTGAAAGCTGGGCTAGTTCAACCCTGAGAAAAGGCAGCTCAGGGGAGACCTCATCACCATCTTCCAGTATTTAAAAGGTGGCTACAAAGAAGACTGAGACTCCATTTTTACACCATCACACGGAAAAGATGAGGGCTAATGGCACAAGTTATTCCTGGGGAGATTCCGGCTGAATAGAAGAGGAAACTTTTTCACAATGAGCACAATCAGCCATTGAAATAATCTCCCCAGAGAAGTGGTGGATTCCTCAGCACTGGACACATAGATTCAGCTGGACAGGGTGCTGGGACACCTAGTCTAGGCTTTGTGTAGGAACCACATGATCCTTAAGGTCTCTTCCAACCTGGAATTCTGATTTTCTTCAATCCTCAGCATCCCTGTTTTCAAAGTAGTGTGATTCAGCAGGAGCTGGCTTGCTTTCCCTCTGTACCAGCAATTAAGAGGGCTATTCACTAAGCCAGTAAATTCACTTAATTGCAGGGCGGTTTTCACCACGCTGTGGCAGCTCTCAATTATGTGTATAAAGTACTAAAAACCTAACTTCCTCTTACGGAAAAGTGCATCCAAAACAGTATTATCAGTAGCACTGAGCTTGCCTTCACTCCTACCTTTGTCAAACCAGGCAGCTCTGCTGCACAGCACTGGTGAGGTAAAGCCCTGTCCTTAAGCTCCATCATTAATCCAGGAGCCCAAGACATCATACAGCAAATTCAGTGCTATGTCTGGCCACAGTGTGCCTGGTGAACCTCTAAAATGCCATCTCTAATGTCAAATTCATAAGACAGTTGAAAAACCCCACATAATTTAAGAGGATTACAGGAGATTCATGGAAAGAAATAGTTTACTTTAAATGCCTGGTAAAATATCCAATATATATGGTGCACAGAACGAACACATTCATTTAAAACCATGAACCCATCTACGTAAGTGTCAAAGATGAGTGGAAGAGACAGAAGCACAATGGTCATTAGATGCAGGTTTCAGGACTGCACTGTAACATTGGTTGAAACATTCCTTATGGAGAAAGAGTTTTTATTTTCTTAAAAGAAAAGGTTCTTGATTTAGTGGAAGTATTTTTTTACGCAGCCAACATCAAAACATGAGAATGAACATTAAACCACAAACCAGATACTATATAAAGACTTCCTAAAGAAGACACAATAACGGGTTTAAATTTTAGCAGTTCTTTAATGGTTTCAATAGGAAATAATCTATTCTTGCATCTTTTCGATCGTTTCTTCCTTGTATTTGCCCTTCTCCTTGCCAACCTGGCGGGATTTTGCTTTACGCTCCAAGATCTTTTTGCGATCTTTGTCCAGTTTTAGCCTGGTGATCACCACCTAGAGAAAGGACAGAGAATTTAGCGTCACTTCAGTGTTGAAGCACAGCAACCTGACAGAGCTGTGGTAACACAGCATGGTCCCAGAAGGTCAGCCCTGGCACACAAGTTCTATTTCCACAGACCATCTCATTTGATCCAGGTAGGACTGAGGTACTGAATTGCCTCCGTATGTCATAGAATCATAGAGGAGTTAGGGTTGGAAAGGACCCTAAGATCATCCAGTTCCAACCCCCCTGCCATGGGCAGGGACATCTTACGCTAAATCATATCACCCATGGCTTTGTCCAACCTGGCCCAGAACACCACCAGGGATGGAGCTTTCACAGCTTCCCTGGGCAACCCATTCCAGTGCCTCACCACCCTAACAGGAAATAACTTCATCCTTATATCCAATCTAAACTTCCCCTTTTTAAGTTTTAACCCATTACCCCTTGTCCTATTACTACAGTCCCTAATGAAGAGTCCCTCCCCAGCATCCTTACAGGCCCCCTTCAGATACTGGAAGGCTGCTATGAGGTCTCCACGCAGCCTTCTCTTCTCCAGGCTGAACAGCCCCAACTTTCTGTGCCTGTCTTCATATGGGAGGTGCTCCAGTCCCCTGGTCATCCTCGTGGCCTCCTCTGGACTTGTTCCAACAGTTCCATGTCCTTTTTATGTTGAGGACACCAGAACTGCACACAATACTTGTGAGGTCTCACAAGAGCAGAGTAGAGGGGCAGGATCACCTCCTTCAACCTGCTGGTCACGCTCCTTTTGATGCAGCCCAGGATACGGTTGGCTTTGTGGGCTGTGAGCGCACACTGCCAGCTCACGTTAAGTTTCTCATCGACCAATACCCCCAAGTCCTTCTCCAGAGGGCTGCTTTGAATCTCTTCTCTGCCCAACCTGTAGCAGTGCCTGGGATTGCTCTGATCCAGGTGTAAGACCTTGCACTTGGCATGGTTAAACCTCTTAAAGTTGGCACCTGCCCACCTCACAAGCGTGTATGTCACAACTGTCCCAGGTACACTCAGGATCTGTGGACAGCTGCTTTTGATGCACAGCCAAATGCACAAACTGAAGAGCACCCAGATTTCCATTAACTACATAATAAAATAATTACTTCGAAGTAAATCTCATTTCCATTATGCTGCTCAAGCATCCACCTGAAATGCAGTACAGTGGATCCCATCACCAAAAAAGCAAGTAATGAACCACTATTTTAATTACTCCATGTTTTAAACAGTATTACGTAAATTTTTGGAACACTGGAAAGCCATGCTGCTGTTTGCTGGCTGTTAGCATCTCACTGCTGTACTGGCTGAACAGCCAATGCATCTGCCTGCACTACAGGCCAAAGCAGAAGCCCATGCACCACGGTGACTCACATAAAGACACAGACAGGAGGTGGCCAGGCAACTATCAAGTACTACTAACAAGGACACATCAAAGACAAACTGCACAGACCACTGGTTACCACAGCCTCAGTGGTTCTCTAACAAAGCCTAATTTTTGGTCTTCAGTGTCTCCTGTGCCCCCTCAAATTGCCGAAGATACACACGTGCTGATATTACTGAAAGGAGTACCTTAAATTCCAACTGACAACCAAATCCCAGAGAAACCATAGACTGCAGCAGGCCTGCACATTCCTCCTCAATTCCACTGTGCATGTAGGTATCCCATAATTAGTATGAATTCCTACCTCTTTACCTAAGAGAGGTAAAAACTGTTCATCCACCCCACTGCATTCTTCTGTTCCTTTTGCATTAATAACCAGAATCTTTAAGGTCTGATTCACAATTAGAGACAACTTCACAGAAATAAAGTACCAGCACAGAAGTCCTTCACTGCTATTTATCACACAAGCAATATGCATACTGGCTCCACTGCAATGTCACTTTGTCCATCAAATGTTATTACTGCACACAAGCCATTATGTTGTTTCGGAATGACCCTGCTCTCCCTCTGCTGAACATACCAACCATTTAGATCAGAAAACCTGTTACAACTGGATTTCTTCCACCAACACTTCAGTACATGTCCCCACAAGGCAAGGCTGAAGCAGACTAATTTCATCTGCTTCAAACCAGCTTTTGGTTAGTTTTTCTGTTTAATCTGAAACAAATAATAGGGAGCTATTATGATCCAAACAGGCTTTGCCTGGTTTTCATGAACTCTAAACATGTTAAATGGCTTCAGGCTAAAACCAGATTCAGAACTTTGTTCAAAATAGCACACATGAACATATCACTATTCTGAGCATCTATCCAAACATTTCTAACACCTCATTAATCAGTGCAAATGCCATGCAGTAAAGATGAAGGATTGTTCTAAACAATCCATTTTGTGCTTTAAAAATACCAAGCTCTTCAAAGTACTTAGCAAGACTCTGAAGTCTGTAGCGTCATCTCCACCAAATGAGACCTAGAAACATCAAGGAGTTCTTGATTTCAATTCACTTCTCTACTATCATGACACCATTTTCCTTGTTTATTATCCCCCAGTGCTGGAGTATCTCCACCTGTTACTTCACATGCCATGACAAGGTTCGACTCCTGCCAGCAACAGCATTTTCCTTTGCCAGCAAGGTCTCCTCATGCATTTCATATCCCATGTCATGCACTGTACCTTGCTGGGATGGATCCCCACGTGGACAGTTGTGCCGTTCGCCTTCTCCCGCTGAACACGTTCAATGTAGATGACATATTTCTTCCTGTACACCTGGACCACCTTGCCAATCTGCTGTCCTTTGTAGTGTCCCCGCACAACCTGAGCACAACACAGGAAGCATCCCTTACACAATTAGCGCATCTACTTATCCCAACAAAAAAACCAAAACTGCACAGGTTGAAATCCCCACTCCGCTCTTTCTATACACGTGCCACAGAAACATCAATTACTGGACAATTTCAGCAATTACTAAAACGGAAAAATATAACGTGCTCCTTGTACGTTCCTTATCACTGATGTGACCTCAACAGGCCAAGTCTATGATGCAAAACTCTTGGCACAGCTCCAGCAACTACATGAATTTGCCCAGCCCTTCCCTTTCACACAGGCTATATGTGAAAACTAAACCAGCCAGAAGTTCACGTGTGCTGGTACAACTCAAAAGATAAGACAGTGCGCGTACCTGGACTTCATCATCCTTCCGAATGGGCATAGAGCGGACGTTGTATTTCTGCCGCAGCTCCTTGGAGAGAGGGGAGGACATTATTTTTCTCCGAATGTGAGAAGGGGCATTGAAGTGACGTTTGCGGTTCTTGCTGCGGTCTGAGGTCACAAACGGATTGAACTTCATTTTGGCTGCAGAAAGAAAACCAATAGTTTGAGAACTTATATGCACGGCTCTATCACCTACCCACACAAACTGTGCTAGCACATAAAAACAATTTTAACTTTCTTAACTGTCTTAAATCATACTCCCAATTAATACACCTTACAGAGTGGGCTTCAAGTAAGGTTTAAGCCTCTTCCTTGATCGACAATGACCCTGTGATTGACAAATGGGCTACACACGTGCACATCAGACCATTCTTCCTACTTCAAAGCTCGCTGTTCTCAGAAGGCGGGACATCTGACTGACAAGCCTTAACTGTGCACTGTAGCATAGACCAGCTTCATTCATAGAGCAAACATGTATTTTGGACTCTGAGAAAGAGGGAACTCGTACTGCTCAGGGATCTCCTATAAAAGCACACCACCAGACAGGTGCATACAACAGATCAGGAAATGCAGAATGCTTTCGGCTTTCTCCAAATCTTAGCAACCGCACTACAAGACTGTCATGGTCTAATTCATCCTGACTGACAAAGCCATGCCCATTAAGCGACACTTTTGCTTAACTCCACCTCCTGTGCAGGCCGGTCCGGGCTGTGCATCAAGCCAGGGCACGCCGCAAGCTGAAGACCACACTCTGCCTGATCTGTATTAACCAAATCACCCACTGCCAGAGAGCAGGCCAGAGCAGCGGGAGCTCTCTCCGGAGTCCGAGCCCCACGGGGCACCCCTGAAGGCAGCTCGGGGCAGGCCTGCAGCCACACTCCGGGGCCGGGATCCTACACCGGCTTACCGGCCACCTCTGCCCGGAACACGCTCCCACCCTCAGGGCAGATCCGCCTCAGGGCCGGCGAGCCCGGGCCATCCCCGCTGCCCTCTCCAGGCAGCCAGCAGCGCCGAGCCGGGCCGCGCCACCCCCGAAACCCCTGGCCCGCGGCCCTTCCCGTTTCCCTCGGACAGCCCCCGCGGCCACCGGGGCACAGCGCAGGGCCGCGCCGCGCAGGATGGAGGTGGATGCGGACAGGCCGCACCGGGCCGCCCTTACCCCGCTGCCGCCGCCGCCAGAGTCACCCGGAAAGAGGAAGCCGGCCCACTTCCGCCGCCAAGAGCACTGGCTGGGGTCTCGCGAGACCAGCGCGCCCAGCTCCGGCCGCCGGCTCCCCCTGGTGGCCGGCGGTCACAGCTGCACCAGTCCTGCTCCTGCATCCTTTCTGCCACCGTGCCGGGAGCCGGAGGGATTCATCCCTCCCCGGGCGCGGATGAAGACAGAAGCCTGCAGCCAGCTTCCTCCCGCCGCCGTCCCGGTAGATTCGGTGCTGCTAAATCTTGCCAGGACACAGATGAATTTATTCTCAAGGAAAATCATTCCCGAGGGAGGTGGTGTTGGTCGATATGAACCAAGCAGTGGGGGCAGCAGCAGTAGACACTGGACCGGGTTTGGGGTTTATATGGAAGGAAGAGTTTCCATAGTGTTGAGTTGCAGCACGGTGATAGCTGGACAAACGCTTGTCCTAGTGCCTTGACTCATTCTATAGACAAGAGTCAGGAACCTTGAGCACTACCCTGGCCCTGCTGGACATCCAGTTCCAACATGTTCTTGAGGTTCATTTGGAAGGGGGTAGGATCTCTTCCTTCCCAAAGATGTTGTGTAGCAGACACTAATGCAAATAAGCAATATCAAAACTTAAGAGGAATCGGTTTCTTAATATGGCACACATACATAGTGCCCAAATTCACTGTGTTGTAACCCTTTACTGTTTAATCTTCAATAACTGCCTCAGACACTTATTTCAACACTTGGTGAAGCAAGGCTAAAAGAAAATTAAAGGGGGGGGGGGGGGTAACAAACCCCAGGTTATTTTATATACCAAGTGGCCCAGTGACTAAAGCCAAACCCAGCAAGTTCCAAGAACAGTCCACTCACCTCTCATTAAATGAGGGAGGTTGGGACAGTTGGTACTGTTCAAAACGGAGCACTGAATGTCCAGACGTGACTCAGTGCTGATTACAAAAGAGCCTCATGTTAACTTTCTACACAGTGACCTGGCTTACAGTGATTTCGTTGTGTGATAAGGCTTAGTTTGCTGAAATGGTAATTAAAAACAACAAAAAAAGCCCTTTTAGACTAATTTTGCAACAGTAGTGCAACAAGAAGCCCATCAAAACACAAGTTTTATTTTTAATTATAGAACTAAATAGGCTAATATTTTATTAACATAAGGTTGCAGATTAGAAATGCCAAAACTCCTCAATAATCTCCACTGTGAAAATGCAAAAGACTTGTGCTTTAAACATTGCCATAACATACTACAGGGCTATGTCCTCCCTCCCCTGCCCTCCTCTTCCTTTCTTCCCAGGACTACTGAGAAACACCTCATTGACATATTTCATCTGAAACGTCAGAACCCTGTTCTAAAGCAGATACTCATCAGAGCCATTTTCATCCCGAACAGCTTGTGTATCACACAAATAAAAAACAACTTTAAATGAGAAATATACCGAAACTAACTACAGACATTACAATCTACGCTGCAGATCTTCACAGAGCAGTGGTTGGTAAGTATGTGATAAATCAGATGAAACACAAATATCTGCTGATTTTTTTCTTACCCCATTTCCAAATTTTTTCTTCAAATATAATCTTCAGCAGTCCACATACTGTCTAGAATATACCCAAGCACAGCTTTCCCTACAGTGAAACATTTTAACTCCACCACTACAAAGCATCCTATGCCACAGGTTCTCACCACATGATGGAGTGTACCTTTAGAAAGAATAATTTAAAAAGGAAGTTCTAAATATTTTATTTCCTACAGGGATGCCTTTCCTGGAAATCCATAAATACTTCTGTCAAAATACTGACTTGGAAGAGAAAAGACAGGAATATGGATGAACACCTCCAGTCGATGGTTTTCTTCCACTATGACTTGACATCATCTTTGCTTGCAATGACGTTTAAAAGCATAACTAAGTTCATTTTGTCTCTAGAAAGTGCTTGAAAATACAAGTGAAATCTAGTGAGCCACGCATGCACGGGGCAGGACTGCCACAACAGAAACCACCTTGCTTTCACATTTGAAGAGCAGATTCTTCTCTAAACACATGATGTAGCATCATTACATGACCCAAGCCATCCACATCTGATGGACAAGCTTGCCACAACTTAGAGCGGACCCAGAAGGTAGCATTAACTTGGCAGTACTCAAAGGCTTAGACTGGGTTTACAGAAGAAGAAAGGTACGGACCATTTCTTCAGCAGGGTTTTGCCAGAACTCGAGTACAATTTTGTTTCCACATCTAGCAAAAAAAAAAAGAAGTGATTTATTATGTTATTGCAGTGGACATTTTTGCAGAAAGAGCAGGCACACTGAAGTATGCATCTGTCATTTCCAAAAAAAAGCCAAACAATTTCACTGGTCTGGTTTAGAGAAGTGGCTTGGACTGCACAGAAGGCAGCATTTTAATACAGACTGAGGATGGAGAGAAGGGCAGAAATAAAATGCCAGGGGACACAAGGAATTTGCAACAAGCTTTGCTTGTTTGTGTTGAAGACATTACACCAGGGAAGACATTTTAGAAAACTAACAGTACAGTCCATTGCACTACAAAGGTCTTCTGCACAGCTCAGGAAAAGGGTGCACTGCTAAGATACGGAGAGTTTCATCCTTGTAATCCACTGGGTTCACAAGTTGTGAGCAAAGACTCAACAAATTCAGGAGGAAAACCCAGGACATTTTTGCTGTGAGCTTCAGCTGGTCACAGTGGATTAGAGGAAATCCTTCAGCCAGCAAGAGAGGCAATAGCAATGGAAAACCCAGCTCCTACTGGGCAGCTGCCTCCATCCAGTGGGTACCACTCACAAGCACATGGACGCACACATCGAAATGAAGACAAGCATCTCATTTTCAAGTTGATTTTTGTAAATGGAAAAAAATGTATAAAATCTATCCATACATTAACAGATACAGGAAGTTACACAATCCAGTTTACAGCTAAAGCAATAGCAATCAGTCCATAATAAGAACAGGGAAAAATTCCAATGCTGTAATTTGTCCAAAGTCACTACAGGGCGGAGGACAGCGGGGGACTGTGGTTGGCTTCTTCTTTTTGGCATGTGGATAAACTGGCTACCTTCCCTACTTCCAAAGCAAAGAGACAATTCCAACAGACATGTATTAGGAATACTTTTGAAATGCATTTGACTCTATCATTAACACTGAATATTCAAAGATTCATATTATTACAGTATAATGCTTGCCTGCTTCTGCCTCCAGGAAAGGGCAGCGGGCAGTAGATACTATCCAAGAGAAATCCTGCACCCATCACAGAATTTACAGCATTGATTGAGTAGAAGATTTACTTTATGGTTTTTATCCATCCTGGAACACTTAAAATTTAGTTATCCTCAGCTCAGACATTTACAAAGCATGCGGAGACTGTTACTACTCAAGGAACATTTAGGAAGCTATGGAAAACGCGCTGGCGGGTATTGGTCTAATTTTAGTGAACTCATGTCTACCATTACATGCAAGCCATACCTGCCAGTAGCTTTCCCTCCATTTATTAGAGGCACCAGAAGACAAGGCTTGAATGAATGGGCATGGAAGCTCAGGTACCATTTTAAGGAATAAAACAAAACAACTTCTAGCAGGTGCCAGATTGTGGCAATGCCTGCCCTGCTACCAGTGTACCTGTAGGTGAACAGTGTCAGTCTAGGGCTCAGAAAAGATGCCTGACTGGATTTTAAAGGTAGAGGGAGGCACCTTAAACCCTGAAAAGACAGACTTCTGTGTTTGACAGGTGTATTCAATATGCACACATGAAGCAAGACAGTAAGCTGTGCTTATCCACCGGGAAGACTGCACCATTTTTCTGAACACAAAGAATATACAACCCTTTCCCAAAATAACAAGAACAACAAAAATAATAAAGCAGAAGTGCAGAATCCAGAGTGTTGGGTGGTCTGTGTTTAAAAAACATACGGAAGAATAAAAGCTAATGCTGTAAAGACAACTATTCCCTTTCAAAGCAAAGGCCACATAAAACTGTGTTGCTCAGTTTGGTTTTTTTACTTCATGCCACCTGTAAACACAAGACTGGATATTCAGTTTCTGGGAAGAAATGAAACCACTTTTACATTCAGAGTAAAAGAAAAGCCTTCCACTGCCTGGATCACAGATTACCCAGGAAAAGGTAGCTGGGGGAAGGCTTCCTCTTCTTGTTTGCTCATTTCATTAGAAAGGTCATATCTGAACAAAAGAGCTTTCAATAAAAGCACAAAACGTTTCTTGATGTTATTTCTGCTCTCTGTCTCTAAAGTTTGCTATGGGGACTAACATTTTCCATTCCTCACCAACAGATACATCATCACCTTTTTGGCAGCACAGGTGGAATTTCTTCCTAATGTATAATTTTTGCCTTATACAAAAGTCGATTGTCTAATCATGCAAATCCAACAGAATTCCAAAAAGTGCCACAAGACAGCTCAACTCTTTTCAATCTACTACTTAGTTTGTACACTGCCATAGGAACCTCCCAGAGAACAGACTGTCATCCTTACTTAGATCTTAGATGACGGTGTATTTCGTATATGGCATTTCAACCTCTTTCCTGGGGGGGGTGGGGGGGAGACAATCAAAATCCATGCCCTGATTCCATTGATTTTTCACTCTCAGAGCTCTGAAATGCATGGAGATTTCTTTGATTTGTTGAAGAGGTCTTCACTGAACAGTCTGATCAGAGAAAAACTTACTGATTCAATCAAATAGAAAATAAAGACAAAAACAGGTAGTGGCAGATTTCTCAATCTTTGCTCCTATCCTTGGAGACTAGGGCAGAGTTTCACTGCTACTGCATTTTCCCCAGCTGGATCTTCTTCCAGGCCTCTGATGCCGTGAAAATGCAGGAGTCGAGGATCCCAGCTACAGTAAATGTTCCTCCAATGATGGCACATATCTGAAATGTACAGAGAGGGAACAGGTTTGTCAATGATGAGGCAAACTTTTACACAGCTTGAAACTGGGGGAAAGGGTTGCCTACTGCTAGGGTATTTTCTGGGAGCATGGTAAGAACCGGGTAACGGTACTGGGGACATAATGACATGACAATTATTCGGGAAAACCATTCCCTACAGTGGAATAACTTAGTGCTAATCTGAACTCATCATAGCCAGAGCCAACCATAAATCCCAGTCCCTAGGAGCATACAGCATGAGTGCTGTTCCTTTCTGGGCTAAACTCCACCTAACAAAGTTTCTAGAAGCTCTGTGTTGCTCGTATCTTCCTATTACTGTTTTCTATTACAAATACCATGGCCTTATAGTCTTTTCCCTGTTTCACAAGATACAGTGTTTGCAAACAGGCAAAAGATACTTAAATAGCATGTGAAGGACAGTGACTAACAGAGAAACCTAGCTACCAGTGACACCTCCAGCTAAGGCTGTCTAACACTTTCCATTACAAGGGCTGCTTACAAAAGCACGGCCAACTTAACTCTTTGTGGGCTGAAGTTTTCCATGCAAGATGTGTTGGGTTGAATTATTTAAACAGCAGTAAAACACGTAATCATTTTCAAGAACAGTGTTAAGGAAAGAAATAATCTCCTGATCAGCGTAACAGACTACTTCAGGTTCTCAAGTGATAGAAAAACATAGAAGTATTCTGACATGTCAAACCAAAGTTGTTTGGCTTGGAGCACCTAAACTCAAGAGGCCAGCAGTTATGGACTTTGCAACACACTCCTTCGATTCCCTCATCTGTGAAATGGGGGCATTTCCAAAATTGCCTCCCAGGGAAACTGTGAAGGAGAAAACATTTAAAGGGCTCGATACCATGACAATAGCTGTCTCAAAGTCCATTTGGAAACTTGGCTTATATAGAAACATAAGACTTATATAGAAACCACCTGCTAGTAATAAGGCAGCAGTCAAAATACTGTAGGATGGGAAGAAACTTTCATCAAAGGGTGTCATCCCACCCTGTGCAGGGCACAAGGCAGGGCTCACATGGAAAGTATGATACACATAATGTAACTCAATAATGATTAACAACCAAGTTATAATTAAACAGGACCTGGCATTTTCTAACTCCCACATTTTTTACTTCATAACTGTAGTGCTCTTTCAATTTGGTCTTTCACATTGTGCAGGATTAGGTGCCTCTGGAATAAGAGACATCAGTCAGTGAGAAGGGGACATGATATACAAAGCTTATCTCCTGACAAGGGCCTGACTAGAAAGGGGATTTTGCTGTGAGCTAGAAGCCAAGAGGGAGAAAGGAGTCCCAAATCAGTAAGCCACCACAGCAGACTATCAGGGAAACGCAAAACAACTGACACTGAGGGCACCCAGTGCCATGCTAAACCTACCATGCCATATCTCGTCCCACAGAGCACTACATCCCATGGTCAAAATTACAAACCAAAGAGTAACACAGCAGCAGTGTTCAGCTCTTCCAGCTCAGAGGGAGTTAGCAGTGGCAACAGAACAAACAATTAATAGTGAGCACAGGCAGCAAGAAATAAAGCACTCATTTACATGTGTATTTATAACCAGCATGTATGTGTTTAGTGAGATCAGTGAAATGAGGAGCAGCAGAAAACATGGCTCTTGCTGGACAGTTGGCATTCCAGCAGCGCATCAGCTGAAGGCAGTCAGTACTTTTAGGGGACAAGCCCATCTCCTGCCCGCTGTGCCCCCCTCCCTGCTGCCCCTCAGAGCATGACGCAGGGTGACTTTTCTGGGAGAGTGACCGCAATGGAGTTGGGTTATTTCAGTCCACAGCAGCTCAGCTGACGGGAGATGTTACACCGCAAACAACAGAAAAACCATCCAACACTAAGATTTTGCATCATATGGTAGGAAAATGTGATTTCAGTGCAGCAGGGAGGTGGGGAATAGAAAAATAACATATATTCCTCTGCACAGCTCAGTACTGCTGAGTGTTTATGAGTCACACACACCTGGCACTCGCTTGGAGCCTGCCTCCCAGCACGCACACAGCCCTCTTGTTTCATTGAAACAGAAAATAAAGCAGCACCGGGGTTGGTCTCTAGGTCAGCACAGAAGCTGCACCACCGTGTTTCCTTATCATCACAGATCTAATGCGTATGGAGCGTTGCTCTTTAGCAGTGTGGAAGGAAGTTCGGCATCATGCACTGATTTATATTTAATGGAGTTTTATGCTGGGAATAATCTGCGTTTGGCTTCATGAGGTTACTGTTTGACTCAGGCCCGGCCATTAAAGGAGGAAGGAAAAGAAATCCAGAAGTGTAATAATTACAGCAGTGAGAGGCCATGCAGTGCAGGATACACTTGAGGGTTTTGAAGAGAGTATGATTACAGGATAGTGGATGGGATGCAGCTGAAGTAAAACACGAGTGGGTATGTAAAAGGCAAGGCTGCAAGCAAGACAACAGAAAGGCGGGTGTCAGATGCGTGACTGTGGACCTCTAGGATGTCTTAAAATCTGAACATTACTTTTAAGGACAGAGGGGACCAGTAGAATCCCCAGGTAACTCCTAGCAAGGGAAGCTGAAGAAGCCCACCCAGAGATTTCTGGCTGACTTGCAGCTCATCTTGTGCAATAATGCTGCCCTGGTTTTAAACACCTCACAGGACTGAGTCTATGATACCCACCAGTAACAGGTCCCAGGGCTGAAATAACTGTGCCTGCAACCACTGGGGAATGGTTGATGAAGAGCCCTCTCATATCAGGAAAAAAATTCTCTTCTTTACTGTGGATTTTGAATGCTTTAGCAGAACTTTGGCTCATTTTCTGCCCACCCTCCCCTCCCAGCCCTGCACTGACCTCATGATAAAACCTTCTTTCAGTTTGGCCACTTACAGAACTCATAAATTTTCAGTAGTGAAACTTTTCCCCTTGCTCCATAACCTCAACCACGAGGCCATGAATGGCTTCTCTTTCTGGGGAGATGCCTTGATTTTAAGCAGTACAGTTCCACAGGCAAAAACTACTGTGTTCAACACTATGCCAAGTGCCTGTGGTTAACCCCAGGATCCATGGCAAAGTTACAGCACAGCGGCAGCACTGACCCACAGGCAATACAAAACCTTACTTAGTACTGATTTTTTTGAAGTGTGACATGTAAAGTATAATCTGTGCTAAATGCATTTTGCCCTGCATGGGAAGCACTTTTCACATGGTACAGAAAATTAGGGTAAGTCTTCACAGCACAAAACCCCAAGGAGCAGGCCTGAGTTCAAATGGGCCTGTTGGGAACACAAAAGGCCTGGGAACACTGCTGTGGTGCTATAATGCTGCTCTTAGTGGTGCTGAAGTTTTCTGGGGGCAAACTTGTTACTAACAAAGACCGTCAGACAACCTTCCCAGCAGCAGAATGAGACTCCTTTGGCTCTCTGCTGAAAAGCCAACACCCAGCTCTCATCTGACCTCTCCACATGGGATCATCCCTCCATAGTGTATCCTTCCCTCCAACACTGATGCTGCTTCCTACTGAAAGTCTCTTTCAAACAGGACATTCTCCTACTCCCAGGGCCCATTTAAGTGTACTGAAAGCCTCATGGGTGCCCCAATAAACAATCTGCTCACCAAAAGGAGTTGCAGGTGATGCCCCCCCCCCCACCTCAGAGCCACTCCTGTGGTTAAATGAAGCAGCTGCTGCTCAGACAAAAGCTGATGCTTTCCATAGCCAGCCCCATTTGGCAATGACTCCAGATGCCCCAGCGCAATCTGCCTGGACCTCAGCCCAGTACTAATCATTACAAACTGGTCTCCAGAGCAACTGTGATGCAAAAGGCCATGCTGGAGATACAGGAAAGGGCTAAAGCAGTGGAAAGGACAATGGAACAGATCATGTCATCAAAACAGGGCAAGGAAACCTAGGACAAAGGGTATTTTAATCCTCTACAGCACTGCTCCCCTCCACCAGCATTCTCAATTCCACCTTAAACACTGTATAGCTTTAAGGTGTAGCACATACACAGCCAAGGCTGCCCTACTGTAAAACATCCCTAGCCTAAATGAGAGCAAGAGCATCTGTACCAGGGTCAGATAGTCCCAGGCCGATAGTCATGATGTAGCATCTGTAACAAGGATTTGCCTCTATGTCAGCCACATCTGACAACGGTCTGGCCCACCTGTCTGATGTGCTGCATAACAGCTACTGCAGCTACCAGTGTCATCCACGCATCTCCATTGGAAAGATGTTCCATTGGAATGTCCCCAGGTGAGCTGCTGAGACTATAACCATTTAAAAGACCAAACGAAGCAGACAAAAATCCAACTGTAAAACTCTTCTTAAGCAGTCTCGCACCCAGCATGTCCCTGGTTAACTTCTCAGACAGGATGTGACAAAAGTCTACTTGGGGCCACCTCAAATCCGAAAGGTCATGGTGACAAGCAGTGACTCTCCTGTAGGCTCCTTACGTAAACTCTGAAGCACAGTATCGAATTCAACAAAGATGCCATTTATATGCACACAATGGCTTATCAGCAGTAAATCAATGCTAGCAACAGACATGACCATTAATAATAACATCTATCAATCCTTTCCAAACACTGTTTCCTATTAAAAACACCTCCAAACCCTCACCCTCACCAAGATGCGTAAGAAGCTTATGAGAGCATACTGTTAGGGGAAGCAGTACGAGATGCCAAGTCATAAAACGCTGATGTTTGACCTTTTTTAGGATTATGTTTTGAAACCAAACAGACGTGCTAAGAAGAGAAGGTCTTAAACCATGACATTTAGATTTGCTTCAAGTCCCTTCCCCTTGGTATTTGTGTATCCTAGAGATCACACGTGTTTCTGAAGTGAAGTGAACTTGCTGTTTATCACAAGCTGCAAAAATCAAAATCTTTAAGTGCAACACAGCCACAACTGTTTATGTTACTTCCAATTAAAATATTCAAACAGTTTAAAATTCAAAATCCGAGGTTTTCATTCCAGCCAATTTATCACCTACTGCACATTCCACCTCACTGGCACAGCAGGCTGCTGCTTAAATTTTAAGCCACCTCCATGAGGACACATTTTTGAAAGTTCTGGAAGAGCTTTAAATAGCTCTTTGCCTAAGTAGCAGTTTGGACGGTACAGCTTTGTTATAGATGCTGAGATCAGTACTGCAGGATGTTAGCTGGATAGATCAAAATATAACTTGTCAGGAAAACACCTCTGGAATTCGATAATGCGGCTCTTCTCCTCTTCTACCCAGGAGTAAATGCCTGGAACCAGCATACCCATATTAAGCCAAGCAGCAGCACTGATTAAAGCAACTGCTCTGCATTCTCTGCAAGTTAGATCTTAGAGAGACAGCTTATTGCAGGATGCTTTACTGCATATCATATTAGCTTTGCTTCCAAGTTTCTGACACGCTGCAATAGTAACCATCCTGCCTAGACAGAGTTTGGCACTTCTGGAATAGGATAATTTTCCTTCTTCTTGTGCCTAGCTATCAAATTAAGTTGTCAGAGCACAGGGTTTACCAGTTACTTCACTTACACTTCAGTACAATTGGGTGATGTACTGCTTTATTTCAATCATGTCACAATGCTCTGAAGTAGAAACTTGACTCTTCTGGACAAGAATGACTCGGAAGAGAAATGGAAGGCAGGCAGGAGACGGGAGAATTGGAGGTTTAGAGTAACTTACCGATGTGATAAACCTATACAAAGGCTGTCGTCTCTCTGTGTATTTCACTGTGATGGGGCTCAAATCATAACGAAACCAGATAGCTGGGATAATGCGGCCAGTGTGACTGTAGGCTACGTACTCCTAGAAAAGAAAGGGGGGAGAAAATAGCAGAAAATGTGAGCAATCTCCTTCCATTTGGAGTGTCTGCAATAAAACTGCTTCTGTGGATCTGGCCCTTACTTCACTCTTTAGTATTAACGATCAGACTGAAAGAAGCAAACAGCTAATTCCTATGACTGTCCCCCACCCTTATGAAATAGGAAAATAAGGTCTTTATAGTCTGATAATGATAGACCTGCGAACAGAGAGTGATGGTGCTTACTCTCACCTTTATTCAAAGTTACAGAAGTAAACATAAAGGCTGTCATCGATTTCTCTAGCTTAGATCTGTTCTATTTAAATACAAGCAGTCTCTAAGCGGTTGCAAGTGAAGTTTTATCCTGCCAGCATGTAAATCTGGGATACTCATCTAAAAACAGAATTTCGTTTGCAAGAACCTGAAAATCCCTTCTTGTCCATGCACAAAATAGCAAGCAGCAGCTCCTGTCTGAAAGGAACCCTTTGCCTCGGGACCAACAACGTGAATGCTTTGCCCACTCAGTATAAATCACACGGTGCCATGTTTAAACCGTGCTGAAAGCCAAAATGAAACTGTATACACGAAAATACTGGCAAAGGTTCAAAAAATATTCCAAGATCGTGTGGAAGAGACATCTTCAAATTGCCAGTGAAGGTCTCTTTTAATCCATTTCTTTAATAACAGCAATCAGTCAGACAGAGGACATCTCAACACGACATACTGCATACTGCCAACGCAGAACAGATACTAACACCAACATAGCATCACATGTCACATCTTTTTGAGCTAATATTTTGTCTGTGCTCTCAGTGGAAACAGATATCATCTTTCAAGGAACAGGACATTTATCTTGACAGACTGAAGAAAAATCAAAGCAAAGCAGGCTGGGGACTTGTCAACCAGCGAGAGCCATCAGCATTGGCACAACGCACACTGCCTCTTTACCCAGCTGCTCTTCCCTTCTTTAGCCCTATGACATGCCTGCCAACTCAGATCACCTCTTCTGTTTTAATTCTCCTTCATACAGAGGCAAAGGCAACCTCAAACACTTCAGAAGGATGAAGAACCGACAAGCAATAGGACACCCATAAGCATGACAGGAAAGAAAGGATAATTTTATGCGCTGTGAGCGCAAAGGGAGCAAGCAAAACAGCATCCCTCTCCTTCATTAATCTCATAATTCCCAAATTTCCATCTAGTTTTTCTCAATGGATGACAAGAGAAGCAGAATGTGACTGAAGTCCCTAGTCATCGTGTTTTCAGGGCTGTTACTGCAGAAGTTCTGCAGCCTATCTTGGGACAGTGGTTATCTGGGGAAGTGAGGAAACAAGGGTCTTAAGACGGAAAAGGGGAGAGGAGACAGACAGTCCACACTTAAAGACTATATCAATCTCTTCATACTTGTCAATCTATGGCAGACTATTCCAATAGCTTCCAATTTCTTTTTCCCACAGATCAGGGCGGGAGACAAGGGCTAAAGCACTGATAAGAGAATTCTTGTTTTTAATGAGAAGAAAATGCAGATGCAGCACTGTTTCTCTGCCCTTCAGTTCTGATAGAACTGACCTCATTTTTTCCTTCCTCTCCCCTTTTCCCCACCAGCAATCCTGCCCTAATGAGTCAGTCTTGGCCAAATGCCCCCATTTGCAACCGTGTTCATGAGAGCGTCAAAAGCTCCTGCTGTCTGTTTTCCGAATTACTATCAGAACTTGCGTCGCAAGAGTCTTATCAGAACAACAGTTGTGACATTAAGCAGAACAAATACATTGCAATCTGAATACAGGGAGACATCCAAATCATTGGGACACACTGTACATGCCCAAAAGTCACTAGACAGGAACGTTAATCTAACAAATAGTTGATGAGAGCGCATGCTTGATTCCCAGTTACTGCAAACTAGCAGCAATTAGGCATTATAAACCCATTCTCGACTTTCATTTAAAACTATTTGCCTATCAGGTGCTAAACTGAAATACACTTTTTTCATTAAAAAGTAAACAGGAGCTCTCTTTAAAAGGTCAGTACACTGTATTATTAAAATACAAATATTTTCACATTTAATGTAAATTAAGAATTATAAAGTTATAAGAACTATTATAACCCACTAAAAGTGGGCACTGTGAAATAGTCAACCAGTAACTATTTGCTGCTGCAGGTTCAAGGGCTTAATATCTGAAATCAGCATCTATAAAAAGCTGATGACTGCTGACTTAGTCTGATATGTGCAACACAATTAACACTGTTTTATTAACAAAACCACTTGTAAGTGCTGCTTTGTGTGTTCAGTTCCATTGCAGTTTCCACCCAGATGAATCTTGACACAAATCACAAGAGCTCCTGCAGCATGTACAAACCTTCCACATAATTTATAGAAACGTCCCTCAGTTAAACTGATATATGAGAAAGTCAGGAGTAAGACTACACTTCTCTAGGATTAAAACAATACCACCACCTGCTTTGACAAGCCCTCTCCATCCAACCCTGTTAAATGCTGGCACCAGGAGCAAGACAAAGCTTGAAGAGCTTCAGTTCCTCCTTCTCCCAGCAGAGGCTACTCCTCACCTACAAACAAATGTACCCGGCTGCAGAACAGAGGAGCAAGAGGGAGGAGGAATGATGACTGAAGATCCTCCATGCATCCACTGGGATGCAATAAGGAGCTTCTCTGAGAACTACCTGCTTCTTTACCTTATTTGCTACAGTATATTGGTAAGAGTATCGCTGCTTGCCACTCATGTCTTCGTACACCGTCGGGACTATCTTCAATATATAATCATGAGATGCAAGAGCTGTGGTCAGGGAAGGAAAGGAGACAAAAATATATGTTAGAATTCAGAGAAAGGAATCACACACAACATTTCAAAGTAAATGAGCAAAATCAACAAGTAAGTCACAGAAAAGGTATGTCCTTCCTCCTCATCTCAGGTTCTGAGACAAAATGACAATTTCGCGTACTACTTTTATGTTCTTTGTACAAAATTTTGTAAGGTAGCTGGATGGCACCAGAACCTGCTCACCATTCCAAGACTTCTGCAGTAGCACAACCCATGGAGATGAGTTTGGGTCACTTAAACCTTCCTAAGTGCTTGGAACTACAAATGGTAAGTCTTACCAGCACCACTAAAAGCTGTCCTGGTTAAATCAAGAACCAGCTAAGGTTAGAACTGCAGCTCACTCAGCTTCTTTTGACAGAAAAAGCTGAGGCACCACAGCCTGTGTAGTCCCATTTCTTATGTACCCATCTTTCTTTCCTTCTCTTCTTTTTACTACAGCTGATCTTCCCCATGATTTAAATGGCTTGCGCTATTTTTCATGTCTGCTGAAACAGTTCTAAAACAGAACTCTGTAAGATTTCTGGGCACGATCCTTTAGCCAAGTGTAACACAATGACATTTGGCTCCTGGATAAAAAAAGAAAGAAACAAAAACCAAATAAATCCAAACTACGAGAGAGTTGTTTAGCATCAGGAACAGCCATAAAAATTTTGTTCCAAAAAGTGGACAAGACTGATATCCTTGTGGGAGCCTGAACACCTGAAGCAATAAAACTGCACTGAATGGTAACATGCTCTAGAAATTGCTTTTTGTGTACTGGTCATAAAGAAGGGCAATGGAAATGCCTAACCTTCCAGCCACAAAGTAGAACTTAAGGTAAGATCTAACTTGAACACAAGAACAAGGAAAAGTTATGGTGGTGGTGTCAGCAGGAAAGGGAAGCTATAGCAGCAGGATATGGGTAAAGACCTCAGCAATTCTGAGTCAGTCACAGCAGAGCTGGAGACGATGTCCAGGTTGCAGAAGGGCTGCACAGGACTTTTTTGGGCTAAGCCTTCTCTATGTTACTGGAGAAATGACAGTCTGTAATGTCTGGATCATTTTGGTTAAAGAGGCAAATTAAAGACTTCTGGATACACCAGTGTTGCACAAATGGCCCTGTTTTCCCTCCTGCAAAGAGTGGCTAAAACCTGTAATCACCAAAAATACATACGATTTGAGCTGAGTTTGTCTGCTCCCTCCAAGGCATTGAATGCTCCATGAACGTTATGGACCTGGAAAGCAAAGAGGCATATGAAAAAATTATGCTCTGACTTGGTACTCTTGATCTTTCCTTCCCTATGCTATCCTGTAACAAGGAGATCAGCCTGATTCAACCTTCCCGAAAACAAAGCCTCAACCCACTAAAAGATGACCTGAAATATCTTTCAGTGACCATCACCACAGAAGTTGGTTCCAAGTTAAAAAGTTGATTTCACAATGTCTTACAAGATGAAATTCCAAAACCACTCCAAAGCTAAAGGAATTGCAGTTGGAAGAGGCCAGTTGTGAAATTTCATAGTGAGGTATTTCCCAAGAGCTTTACATAGTTAACTGTGAAATTAATTTATCAGGCTAAAAGGGAAATAAATGGGAGTCATATGCAGGTTAAAACTCAAGAGTCTCCTGTAAAGGTAGCCCATGTCAGAGCAGTTGGGCATGTATAGCTTTAACGCATTAGCCCAGCTTTCCCACCATACACACTATGCCCATAGAGATGGGAAGGATGCATGCCAACACTGCCATCCATTCAGCTTTTCCTGCAGCTGGTCCCAGGCATGGGAGTATCTGTTTGCCCAGAATAACAGGATTTCCATCCCATGCCTTCCACACACTATTATCTGGGAGTCTGATGTCCACCACCAGCATAATCAGCTTGTGAACTCTCTATAGGGAAACCCCACAGGAACAGCTGTAGATCAGAGGTTGCGTCATTCACATTATGTACATTAAACTATACAGAAAGAACAAATAATTCCACAACCTAGAAATTCCTGACCTTAAGCCAGACAACTGGGAAGAAGAGCTTGGGAGAAGTATTTGGTCATGGGTATAACAAGGTTTCATCCCACTAACAGGGCAATGCAATCTCCTTCCCAGACCCTCTCAACAACTGATAGTATTTGGATGGTTTCATCTCATCCTAATGGCTGTTTCCCTATTCTGAATACTATGGAGTGGATGATGATTTGGAGGAAGCTACAACTGAACTTGTTTCTCTCCTGAGAAAGGAAATTCTACAGGGACAAAAATCACCAGCAAGGTGCTGGTAACAAGCACAGAGCAAAAGCTGCAGCTGAACCTTCTACAGCACCTTTCAATGTGCTGGCGTTTCAAATACTCTATACAAGAGTAACCATCTCCAGACTACACATGCAGACTGTACACATTCTTTACTAATTTTAGAAGTATACAAAGAAAGAGGGGCCCCTGGACTGGGCTACACTATTATATTCCATTCTTGATAAAGCCGAGAAATAAGCCTCGTATAGCATATCTGGGCCAGAGACTTTAAGGTCCACTTCAAACACCCTAACAGTAAATATTGAGTGGATACTCAGCAACCAACTGTATCTATCCTGGGAAGTACTAGTATATTTGGACTTCTGTTTTGTCCTTGCCTCCCCAGCATCTACACTTCTATTTATATATGTAAGTTGGCTGCTCTGCTTCTCTCTACATTGGGAGTTTGAAAAGCTGTGAGTTACAGAGACAAAGCCACCAAGCATCTACACAACTGTCTGTTTTGGTAAGAGCAGGTCCTTTGGTGCCTCTGCCTCTCTTGCCTTTGCAACACGGATGGCATTTGTAATTCCCAGTCTGAGGTTTTACCATGATTTTCCTTGTGGAACATTCTGGATTCCTGTTACAATACTTGCTGTCTGTAATTAATCTCTGCTCTACAAAGTGCACAAGTGTGCTCCTTGGGGGAACATGCTTGTTTGTACCTTGTTAAGTCCCTGGAAGGGCTTCAACAAGGAGTAAGTTTTTGGCCATGGTAACAAAATTGCTTTGCAACAGACAACTTAAGCAAGTCTGTTTAGCCAGATATTCTCAGGACTTGTCCTGCACTAGGAGGGCCAAATCCAGTACTCGAAGTAGTGGCACAGGAGGCCAGAGAATGGTTTAATAGTGCCAACACTTGTATTCTCCTGCAATGTGGACCTCAAAAAGATCCTTTCTAGGGCCTTGAACACCTTAGGCTTTAACCTTTACAAATGCATGTGATAACATACAACTGGATATATAACTCAGGCAGAGAGCAACAGCAGGCTAAAATAACTTCCAGCCTTGCAACTATCAAGGGAAGACAAGACCTCTCACAAGGTTAGAACTAGGATTATTCAACACCACAATCTAGCACTCAAGAGAATTCTATCATTAAAAACATAACCTCCTACTTTCCATATCTCTTTACCAGGTTACCTGACATGCAAGAACTACTTCACTGGTTTGAATTTTGGTCTCACCTACATGAGGGAAAAATGTACAAAAAGTCTGCCACTCTGTGCATGAATTAATGTTGAAGAATTGAAGCACATTCCATATAAATCTCTGTTTCACACTGTTTTTTCTAGAGAACACAGTGTGTACCTTAGTGGATCATTCTGGCAGAGTTAGTAACAACCTACAAAGAACTAACTCCCAGCACATGACACAAGCGAATGAGAAGCTCCTCACCCTCTTTAAGAAATATGAGCATGTATTACATCAAAGCAGGTGGAGATATTCAAAGGCGTATCTAGATAGATTTAAAGCTCTCCGTACTCACTGGCTCTCTGCTGAGACTTGGTAGCACCTGTTTAGTGAACATATCCTTCTTGTAATTTGTGCTGCTGAACTCCTGTTTGCCTGCAGGATCAGCAGCACCTACATGCTCCATTCCTTGTGTATGGAGATGATGAGTAGCTATTCTGAATTCGAAAATACTAATCAAAACTTGTCCAACTCAGAAGCCAACTGTATGTTTGCTAGACAGGTTTCTCACCCCCAGAACTGAAGACGTTCACTCCTTTGCCCCCAACTGTCCAAGACTTCTCATCTCATTCATGCTGATTCGCACTTACTCAAAGACTCCATGATAAAACAGTGGGAATGCTACTTTAGAGTGCTGATTTCCCACGCAAACTGCAGAACTCCCTATTAGCACTTACCCAATATTTTTCATAATCTCAGTGCGCTTTACAGACATTAAGCCAAGCTTATTTATATGCTAATATTCCAGCGTTCCCACACAAGATATTTCCTAAAAGAAGCCGGGAGCAGAATCAGAAGACTACAAAGCAACGCTTAGACTTGTTAGCATGAAAAAGGGTTTTGGAAGTGGGTGTACAAGAAGCAGACTAATGAGACGTCTGTGCTGAGGAAAGATTACAGAGAGACTGTGGGTAAGCAATGTTTAGGGTGAGTCGCAAACTGGGTGTGCACATATATAACTCCCACCTATGATGCTAACTCCTTGGAAGTAGGCTAGAGAAGTGCTGTAATCTGTTCTCATTGAGAAATCAGGAATTATTACATAACTTGCAACACCTGGTGAAACTCCATCCACTGGGCAACTGCACACATCCACCTTCTTCCCAGCAGGGAACTGGCAGTTCTAAGTCTAACTTGTGTTTCACAGAACCAATTTGACTAATAGGTGTCTGCTATACAAGTACAGTGAAGTGAATTAAAAGGTACTTGACTGGTGCCATGGTAAAGACAGTAGCAAGCACACATCTTCCCTTAGTACACTCACTGCTCCTCTGAAAGGCAGTCAAGATTTGGTTACTGTATTAATACTGAAAACAGTACTGCATAGATATTTTGCAAGCTGTATTAATACTGAAAACAGCACTGCAGAGCATTTTGCAAAGACATGAATCCTCATTTCTACTCCTTTCAGGAAGATTATGACAGTTTTCCGAAAGCACTTTCAGTTTCAGATAAAACCAGTGGTTATTCTGTGACCGAACACTGCTCCCTCCTGAAGTGCCATGTAACAGTTTGCAAACTCTTCTGGACTGAGTGTATGTTTTATGCATGCAAGAGATGGGCTTACTTGCCCAGGCAGTCCTATCTCATGTCCTCTCCACATTGTACATGGCCCTTCCATAAAACCAAACTGTCTAATATTAAAGTCACTCTCATTGCATTCATTCCCCTAGAGCCAGGAAATTTTCAGGGAAGAGAACTCACCTGTAACTTGTCCCCAAATGAGAGTTTATGGATGACGTGAGTCATGTCAGGATTCTGAGGCTGTGCAGTGGCACTGTGCGTTGACACGTGAAAGTTACCAGGGACCTAAAATTAGTCAAGACAAGGAAGACAGGATTTCACATTTTATCCCTCAAGGCATTGCTAGGCTCTGTGATATGAAGCAGAAATGCCTGGATCCATCCAGCCTGGCAGGATATATCTACTTAGCAGTGGACAACCTCTGGCATGTCAGAGAAAGGCTCTGAATTACCCTCCTGCACTTGACCAACACCACCATACTGCATACAGAGTGGAGATCGGTTACATCCCACAGCCCAAGAGTCTGGCACCCTCACACTGCTGCTGACTAGGAGGTGATGAGTGGATCACTGCCAGCTTTAGGGATTCCTAACTCTTAAGGCTATGTCTTTCATCCCTATTAAAATAAAATTCATGTCTCTGACAGGGAACAAACAGTTGCTTAATGTTTTACTCCCACATCTCGTATTTGTAAATGGGCTCACTAACGCAACACAACCCAAGCAAGCTGTGGATCTATTCCTACTGTAGTACTGGTCATGAGCAACCTCACATTTGAGAAGACTGTACATTAAGAATGAGTTTTATATAAGAGAGAAAAAACCCACTGAAACCAATGGGGTTTCCCATACAAACTAAGCCATATCTTCAGCTTCTAGCCCTGGCAATAGCCCTTCCAAGCACAGGATGTTCTGGTTTTAATTTTTTTAATGGAGGGAAATATGAAGTTTCAAAAAAAATACAGATTTCACCTAAGGACTCAGTTCCAAGACAGAAAATGAGCCCTGGTGTCATTCTGATGGGATCACTCTAGGATGCACACACTTTTCAGGTCACTAGCCTCTGTGAAGTGTTTCAGCAGATTCAGCTCGGTCACTGTTACGGAAGGTGCAAGAATTTTTTCCTATCAAGAAGAGGTTGGGAAATCAAGCAACGCTGAGGAGCAATTTGACATGGCCTAAGACAAGAGTGGGAGGATGGTTATACAACTGGTATCCACTGTGCTCTCTGCAGGGACACCTCACCAGCAGGGCCATGGGAGGCCACATGCCAGTTCCATGTGCTTTCAGGAAAGCTAATTTAAATGACTTGAGGAACAGCAGTGTTCTCCTGGGAACACTTTCAGGTGTGGACACAAGCTGTGTCATACACAAGCTCAGTAAACAGGGTGGCAGACTCTGCAGTAAGGAGTACACACAATCATCACACTGTTACTGTGTTCTCCCTCTTTAGGTTTGAGAACAACACCCAAGAGCAATCCCTGGTCATGTTTCAAAGCCTGGCCACATCCCACTCCAGATACCAGCTCATACAGAAGCTTGTACAATTTCTGACAAGGACTGCAGGTCATACATGAGAGGTTGAGGCTTTCAGAGGCTGAAGTCCTGGGCCAGCTCCCCTCCGACAGCAGTCCCAACCACTACAGGAGACAACACAATTAGTTGCCTATCACAGATTAAGCAGTGAAAGGAGCTTCTCATTGCCTCACACAGCAGCCCCCTTTTGAGTTGCTTTGGTGAGCAGAACATACCACATCTAGTAGACAAAACCCAGCTCTGTGCTTTGGGAATTAATAGAACAAGAACTATATTTCAAGAAGTCCTTTCCCAGTTTTGAGGACTATCAGCTGCCAGTAATCTTGGTGGCTTAGAGGCGAGGAAAGAAACGTCTTCTTTTTAAGTCCCTAATCCTTTCCATGCCACAGAATCAGTAGGAGCTTCTACTTGTTATTTTTAGATGCGATTTAACATGACCCGGGAGGAAAAGAAGGAAGTAGGATTTTGTAGCCTGTGGTACATGAAGTGGCGTGAATATAGGGTGTGTCCTTCTTAGGACATCAGTGGGCCCCACCACTGCCTCTCCCACCCCAGCTAGTCATCTCCAGCATTACATAGCAAGATTATTCAATCTGAACACACCCATCCCAGAGAGGAGCCTCCTCCAGGCCTGCATTTTCATTCTTTGAGACAGAAGTGGAGCACCCCAACAAAGCATGCGCAGAGGCTGCCTGCACGTATTCCAAACATATCAGCATGGAGCCGCTTCTGTTATGTTGGCACCCTCTAGCAAGGAACATTCCTGTCATTCTGCGGCTCTTGGAATAAAAGAGCACTTAGATAGAGCAATTGCCAAAGACCTCTGCACACTGAGTCAGATTTTGGAGGTGCAAAAGTCGCGAGGAATAAACACAGAAGCCATGTGGCATTTGTAGGGAATTCATACATCCCCTAAACATGAGGCTGCTGCACTGAAAGAGACAAAACGGGCTGCAACATAGAGCTGCTCTCTTGCATTAAACAATCCTATCTCAATTAACTGGTTTGGAGAACAAAGTAAAAGCCTGATCTAACACATTTCTATAGGTCAGCCTCCTTCTACATGCAGCCTCCTCTCCCCAAATTGTTCTGCAGCATTGAGAGACATAACCTTACTGGTGATTAGGGACATGAACATCAACTCTACAGCAGAGACATTGGCACAGAGATTTTCATGAGCATTTTACAAATGGATTTCCCTAGCCAGCACACACTCACCTACTGTCATTCCTACTCACCTTGTTGATGCTGAAATGGCCCTCAAACCTGCAGCCATCCCCATTATTGAGAGGTATCTTCATTGAGTTGTCAATATGACCCACTTCGTGCCTTCCCATTTCATCTTGGATGTCTAGCCCAACTACTGCATGGGTGGGAAGAGACAATAAAAAAATCAAAACAAAAGAAATAACAGGAAGGGTGCACAGGAAAAGCATGCACTGTTTTTACTGGGAAAAAAAATCCACATAGTTTTTGCGGACATTTGACTAAACTGCACTAGTAATGTCATTTGTCAAATGCTAATAATCATACCAGCTCTTCAGAAAGAGCTTTGTAACCATACTTTTCAGACTGCCCATTTGACACAAATACCATGTCCTGCCAGCTGACTGCAATCTCAATTACACAGACGGAAAAACTTCAGGTAGACAAGGCAGGTGATTTGTGAAAAGCCAAGCTGGAGTGTTCAGAGTCACAAATGAAACCTGGGAGGTTTCTTGCTCCAAAAGGTCACTGTGAAAAAAGGAAATGATCTTCAGAAAGAAGCCAGGAAGGGAAGTCACCCACTAACACAGGCTGCAAAGCGAGCACAGGGTCCAAGGAAACAGGTGTCCTGGCTTGGAACAGAAAGTGATGTGATAGTGGCAAAGGCTGCAGCTACTTGATCTCCATCCACCCTGTTACAGAAGAAGGGCTACTGTACCAGGTTGGGTCTGTTTAAAGTGCTGTTTAAAATACAAAGACAAACTGATAAGCGAAAAGGGGTACTCACATTCACAATGCAGGTTTGGCAAACTGATGTTTAGATTCACTTCTATTTTACCTCCACTGTCTTTGTCTGGGTCATCCACATAGAGCTCGTTAACTCTGGAGGACAGAAAACATGGGTGGGCTCAGGCATGGAGCTACTTTTCACAGGGAAAAAAAACAACAACTTGCATGGGAAGGGAAAAAAAAGGGTACTTGAAGAGAGGGTTTCACTACGTGATGGCTGAAAATCACCAGACAGAGAGCAGGAAAAGCCCCCACAACTGCATGGGGGCAACCACTGTTTAGTTTTACTTCTGGCCTGACAGAAGTGCAGGAAGCTTCAAACAAGCCGATTTATGCTTCTTGCCCCCTTCTCGAGCCTGAGTTTCCAAAGGTGATACAAAACGAGAAGCTGATGTCGAAGCAGTGGCAGGCTAGTGTGCGAGCCCTCCACATACCTGCGCTGCTACTCCTTTTAGGAGGCAAGGAAGCATATGCTTTTTGTTTTGCTTCACACATGTTTTTAGAGAAAGGCCCCTCTCACCTATCCCACAGGAAAGCTTCTTTGTATAACTGTCTTTTGTTATTGCCACCCAGTTGACAACCTAGTGGACAAGAGAAGGCAGCATGGCATAAATCTCTCTCCTTAATATCTCATTTCAATCTATGACTGGTAACCAAAAGCAACAACTAAAATTGAGAAGAGGATCTGAGCCAGGAACAGATGGGAAGAAACATCCTGGACAGCAGGATTTAACACACTATTCAAGTCTCCCAAAGAGTAATGTTGTTTCATGGCACCCACAGTGCTGGCACATTCTTCACAGAAGACAGAATACAGATACAGAGTAAAAGGAATACAAATATTTACTGTTGGCACATTCAATCCATCTGACATGTAAAAAGTAAACAAAAAAAAGCCCAACACAAGCACAGCCGAATTCCTTGAACAGCCCCAGAGAACCCACTGCAGGGGAACTCACTGCTCTGAACCAAGAAGATGGCAATATTACCCAGCAGCTCTTTCTCCTTCGAAGCCCAACACTGTTCAGCCTCATCAAATATTAAGATTTGATAATTTATCTTCCAGTCAGACACATTACAAAGCTATGGGAATTTATGTTCAGGCAAGCTACATGAAATAAAGTACCTGTAAGTACTCTGTATTATACTTATTTAATGCTCAAAGTGCATGAAAGCCTTTGACAAGCCCTTGCCGAAGAGTCTATTAGACATGCTATTAGACAAACCAGACTAAGGGCAGCTACAAGACAGATTCAAAGTGATTTTGCTCTGGTGATCCATCTCTGGACCATAATGAACTGTTTGCCCTGTGAATTGAGAAGAAACAAGCCTTCACACTGAGAAACACACAGCTGCCAATTCTTTTGGAGGTAATTACTCACAGGTCAGTAGGGTTTACAGACACTCATTTAAAACCAGCACAGCATTTGTCTTCAGCTTCACAGCCCTACCTTTCTCTGTTTTTAATTGGCTTGACAAGTTGCTTGCAATCATTACTCAACGTATTTTTCAAGTGATTAATAAAAATGACACAGAGGGAGGGGAAAGATTGCTCATCAGTGACCTAGTTAGAAGCTTCTTGGCTGAGCCCTCTTCTCTTGGGTGGAATGCATTAAATCTTCTATGTGTTTATTACTGGCAGATTGGGTAGCAATCGGGATTAAGTCATATATCCAAATAGGGTTGTGAGGAGTAGCTCCAGCCAGGATAGGCATTAATCCCCCAGACCAGTGCACCTTCCTGTGCTCCCCAAGTCCTCCCATCAAGATCCCAGCTGCCAGCCAACCTGTTTCATAACAGCACCTGGCTTCTTCCCAGCTCTGAAATGTGGGCCATGCCCAGCCAGTGCTGAGGGCAACTCCACATTACTGCCAGAAAGGAGCATTCATGCCAGGGCTGGCACAGAAACATGTCAAGTTCAGCAGCTGAACATCCCAGCTATTTGGAGGGAAGCTCTAGGAAGGTCAATATTTGTATTTGCTCATTCCCAATTTGGAACCTGTCAGAAAACCTGCAGTCAGGCATGGTCTGTAAGCAAAGGCACATATGCTGTTCAGCGATAAGCAAGTGAGAAGTGCTTGCTGGTAGAAGTCAAAGGATGAACTGAGCACAAGGAGCCTATGGCAGCTCTCACATAGGAAGACAAGCAGTGAGGTCACTCGCTTGCAGACTGGATCACTGAGGCAAAGAGAAGTAGGCCAGCTTGTCCACGTCACACAGCCCATTAGTGGAAGATAAAGGAAACCGGTTTCCTGTCCTGCACTCCAGTCACTGGACCAACGGTTCCTAACCTGTCCCTTGGGCAAGGCTCATGGCTGCTTCCTCCTCCTCCTTTACCTAGTAGCCCCCTGCCCTTCTCCTACTCATGTTCCCAATTTCATAACCCTATCTATCGCCCCTTGGACATCTGACAGCTCGTGACAGTCTGTCCTTCCTTCCCTCCCTTGGACCTGCAGTGCTGCCTTTCATGGAGCACCCTGCCTGCTGAACCCTGCTTCTCCTTCCTAGCTCCAGCCACTGCCTCCTCTTGGCACCTCCAGCTCTTGCAGAGGGTCCAAGCTAACAAACCCAGCCAGGTTTCTTATCAGGGGCTCCAAAGTGCTCACCGCCTCTGCTATTGAGGTTTCCTTTCACTATGGGGAACCAAAGGTACAACGATAACACACCACAGACTGCACTTGCTGGGGAAACAAACCTCAGAAGAAATGTCATCATTTTCAACCAGCTGGAAATTTTACTCCCAAAATACATTCTGGAAACCTCCCAGGGTCAAGGCTGTCCTTCCAGGATCTCCTCCTGATCCACTGCCACCTCAGTCTGGATGGAGCTGGCAGAGAAGTGGCACTCACACATCCCTTGTTACAGTCCTGCCCAGGGCCAAGAAGCCAAATTGCACACAGCCTTCCTCCTATTTATTCACACAATCCTGGGACGTTGGGAAAAAGCACTATTTAGCACCTGTAGGAACTCTCCCTGAAGGGATAACATCACCAGCGGAAGAAATGAAGTTGGCTCTGATTTATAGCTGTCCCTTCTGGAACATGAAGTGTCCCAGGAGTAACAGTACTTAACAGTGCATCTGGGATGGTCACAAAGGAAATAAAACCTGAGGTCAGACAGAAGGGCACTGTAAACGCAGCTGCTTCTATGGCTGTTTAAGAGAGGCAGCGTACAGGGTTTTATTGTGAACCAAAGATGGCAGGTACCTCCTCCAAAGACCTAAGCACGCAGGAGTTGGCATTTTACTGGCGACTGCTAAGGACTATTTGAATAAAAGAGGCACAATAAAGCAGGGGTGAGGGGCAGAGCTATGAAAGTACAGTGAAGGTAAGAAGTGGACTTCTGCCCACTGGGCCTCCCACCACTGTTTCAAGAAAGGGAGGAAAGTTTCTTCATGCAGCAGGAGCTGTGATCCACAGAGAAAGAATCTGCTTCACTTCTAGAAAGAGCCACTTCAAAATACTTCACATTCCTGAGCGGTGCTGCTGGGCTTCACAGTTGCTTATCCCATTTGCTTGCAAACTTGCAGCATTACACGGAAAAAGTTGGAGGGACTCTTTGGCTGAGATTGCAGATCATGCAAATGGCACGCGAGAAAGAATGAAAGGGGGAAACAGCACAAGAGGGCTCATCATTCCTGTAAGATTTTATCCAAAGGAAGTCAGACCCATTCCCCATGCTTTAGGACTCCAACTGAGGACACAACAGCTTTGTTTCCCCAGAAACAAAACTTCCCCAGTAATATTCCCACCCGGGAATGGGTAATATTCCCACCTGCCCTGGCCCCTGACATTAGACGCTTCAGCACTTCAACAGCTGAAGAGCCTGCGGCCCTCTGAATACAAGAGCAGACACTCCGCAACGACCTTTCAGAGCTTCACACGCTGCCTGGGTGCTCTCTAAACACATCTTCCTTGTCCTCTGTCCTCCTTGTCCTATTCTCTGCTTCAAGTTTTATTCTGCTTTTTTTCTCCTTCTTTCACAGCAAAGAATCAGTCAGCCTCCTCTCCAGTCATCAGCCATATAGAAAATACAGCCACTTACTCCAGCAAGCTGCATTTCACTTTGTCCTCCAGCTCCCAGGAGACACTCTCCTGTCCCCACGATCCTAAGACTACAAGGGAAAAGAACTGTTCTTTTCTCAAAATACCTTCTCAGGTGAGCTGTCTCTGCTCCATTTTCCATTTCAGCTCTCATCACCCACCTTCCAGAAACACAACTACCCAAAGCTGAGATTTTAGCACTACCATCTTCTCAGTGAGCCAGATCAGAGAAGATCCAAAACATGACAAACAATCCATCTTCTTCTTGATTTGTGGGAAGAAACAAGCAGGTCAGCAATTCTCTACTGTGTAATAAATTGTGCATGTGCCTATTGCTCTGCCATTTGTAATCTTCCTTCTATGCCCTGAATCTCCATCAGCTCTTCATTGAGGTCTTTGTCCCAGATTAGATCTTGGCTGAGCTGGGAAACACAGAAAACACACTGTCCTACAAAGGAAGGAATTGCAGCTCTCCAGGAGGCAGGAAGAGAAGAAGGGTTCGAAAGACGTCAATGTAGATTTGAATCAGAAATTGCAAATGACATCATGATACGACCTTCCGCTTCCTGCTAACCCACACAAGTACATGAGGCCAAACGGCGTAACAACACTTCACAAACGTATATCACCGTTTATTAGGTAAGCTCCATGTTACTACGCAAACATTAATTAAGCTTCTTAGCACCCCTGAGAGGTAGGCAGCTAAGTATTACATCCTTCTACAGAAAAGTGTTTGTCTCAAGGTCAGTCCATAGCAAGAGCAGGGTTACAGCTCCTGTTCCCCTCTGACCATTAGGCTGTATTCCCTATGCTGGTCTAGCTTGCTCCAGCATTTCATCTGCCTCCACTGGATGAACCGGTGGAGTTGGAGTTGTACCTCCAGTTTGATGTCAGAAAACATGAACTGTAGTATTGTGTTCCCCTCTTCTGCTCCAAGGTTATTATTTCTAGCAGAAGAAACTCATGTTGCACCAGGATCACACTCTGCTGCTGACACAGCTTGATTATGCAGGTTGTTAGGTGAAATTTTCATGGGCTGACAGCCCCAAA